ATTATTCAGTTTTTAGTTATCTTTCTGGTTCCCTTTGAAAGCTATTCTGGATTGTGCCCACAACTGTTAAAGGAAATACAGTATCATGTCACAACTTGTCAAGAATCTATTTTAATTTTGCTGTGATTTAATTACTGTTTAAATTATTGAAGGTCGAGAAACGTATTTGAACATGCTCTTGGGTACTTTGACAATTAAACAGCCATTGAATACAGGGGAAGAAACTAGTTAAGCCTTTAATGACTATGTGCATTCAACTTCCTTCAATTTATCCTGTGAATGTGAATAAGCCCTTTAAGGTGGTTGTGAAGATTAGTCCAGATCACCACATCACGTGTCCCTCATGACCCACCCCCCACCATTCCCCCCCTATACTCCTTCGACCCTATCTCTTCCTCCTCCCTCACCGCCATCGTTCGCAAACTCAAACCCACCACCTGCTCCCTCGATCCCATCCCCACCTCTCTCCTCATCTCCCAGCTCCACCTTCTGGCCCCTCTCCGGTCTAACGTCATCAACCTCTCCTTGTCCACTGATTCAGTCCCAACCCCCTAAAAATAGCCGTCATCACCCCCATCCTGAATAAACCTTCTCTGGACCCATCCCTCCTCTCCAGCTACCATCCCATCTCTAACCTCCCATTCCTCTCCAAGGTCCTGGAACGAGTCGTCGAGTCCTTTCTTTCTTGCCATTCCCTCTTTGAACCCCTCCAATCCGGCTTCCGCGCTGCCTACAGCACGGAAACAGCCCTAGTCAAAGTCACTAATAACGTTCTGAACATCTGTGATCCTTGTCCTCCTCGACCTCTCTGCTGCCTTCGACACCGTTGACCCTCCATCCTGATACACCGCCTCTCCTCTTAATCTTCGCGGACCTGCCCTTGCCTGGATCGAATCCTAGCTGTCTCACCATCTCCACTTTGTTGCCTCCAACGGTTTCTCCTCCAGTCCCCACACTGTCACGTATAGTGCCTTTCATGTCAGGAAGACATCCCAAGGCGCTGGACAGTGTACCGCATTTCAGACCCAAGCTGGGGTCATGGAGGAAGAAGGGAGAGGAAGGGAAGGGCGGTGACCGATGGCATGGTCCAAGAGGAGGGTTTTGAGGTGGGACTTGAAGGAGGCTAAGGAGGGGGAGAGGCAGAGTGATTGGGGGATGGAGTTCCAGAGGTTGGGGGCAGAGTGGCTGAAGGCTCTCCCTCTAATGGTGGGGCGGGTGGGTCGCGGATGTGGATCAGGCTGGAACCGGCTGAGCGGAGGGAGTGGGCGGGTTGGTAGGGGTTTAGGAGGTCGCAGAGGTAAGGTGGGGCGAGGCCATGGAAGGCTTTGTAGGTGAGGACCAGGATCTTGAACTGGATCCTCTGAAGGATAGGGAGCCAATGGAGTCGGGTGAGAATGGGGGAAATGGGGTCATGGAGTTTGGTGCGGGAGAGGACACAGGCTGCAGAGTTCTGGATTATCTGCAGCCTGTGGAGGGAGGAGTTGGGAAGGCTGAGAAGCAGGGAGTTTGCGTTTGCATAGTTGAGCCTGGAGGTGATGAAGGCATGAACAAGAGTTTCAGTGGCCTGAGGGGTGAGGTAGTGGTGGAGTCAGGCGATGTTACGGAAGTGAGGGAAGACAGAGCGGGTCATGGCTTGGATACGGGGAAGAAAAGATAGTTGAGGGTCGAACAAGACACCGAGGTTCCTGACTGGCGGTGAGTTGAAGTGTGCAACCATGGAGGTTGATGCGGCCAGAGCCTGAGGTGCAGAGACGCTGGCGCGAGTCAATCAGGAGGGCCTCAGTCTTCACATTCAACTATAGGAAATCCAGAAGCATGTGAGATATTGTCCTGGGATTTACATATGCCTGAGTTGAGTCCAAATGAGCACAACTGTTGGCATCCTGACTTAGTTGGTAGCTCTCACACTGAATCTGAGGTTGTGTGTAGTGTGCCTCTAGTTTGTAGATGAGATTGTCTTCAGACAGACAGCTGATGAGATGAGGAGAATCTCCCTCCTGAAAGATATCAAGATCTCTGTACCCAGATAAATCATGATTGCAGAACAAACAAAATGTTCTTAAATTGTAATAAAATATAATCTGCGCCCATAAAAAGGAACTTACAATGCACCTTACAGTATATTCTGTGAAGTACTTTGGGACTTCTAGGAGATGTGATAAGGTGCTATATCAAATGCAAGGATTATTATCACTGTACATCCCAGGCTTTGAATGGGTTGCTCCAGTCGGTTTGAATTCCCAAACTGTCGAGAACAACAAGCACATACCTTGGGCAGCAGAAAACGGACTGACTAGCTCCTCATAAAGGTGTTATTCAATGTGATTTTGTTTACACTCCCAAAGATGTGCGGAATTGGCTGCCGCGTTTGCCCACAAATATACAGTCAATTCACTTTACAGTCCTCCAGACGTGAAAAGCGCTATATCAAATGCAAGGATTATTATTATTATTATTTGGGATCATTGAACCATGGTCTTTCTGATGATCTTTTGTAAAGTGCCTAAAAACACAAAATCACTTCATTGATTTTGCATTTTGACATACAACAAAAACAACTTTCATTTATATAGCGTCTCATAATATCGATGTCTCAAAGCGCATCACAGGATGTACTGTAAAGTGATTTGACTGTGTGTATTGTGAGGTTGAACAATAGCTTGCCAGGAAAGGTGGTTGAGAACAGGATGCTGAACTCATTTTATTTATAAAAAAGAAATCTTGATGTTGCAATCGGAAGGTGGGTAGTCTAGAAAGCCTGAAGGCTGTCCAAAATACCCACCTTCCTATTGCAAGTGGAGTCCTGTAGCTCAGTGGTTAGAGCACTCGCTTTGCAAGCGAGAGACCTGAGTTCAATTCCAGGCACAGGGCGAAACCTTGGGCAAGTTTCCTTACCCCACACAGAGCCTAATAATAATCCCTCCAAAAAACAAAAAAAACAATAATTAAATTGGTCATTTTCAATCTATGACTGTTTGTGGGACATTGCTGTGCGCAATTGGCTGCCGCGTTCGCCCACAAATATACAGTCAACTCACTTTACAGTATATTCTGTGAAGCGCTTTGGGATGTCCTCCCGACGTGAAAAGCACTATATCAAATGCAAGGATTAATTAACTTCATTCTTTATCTGAGCTTCTCTTGCACAACTTTTCTTTACTCAGTTACAATTCAGGTATTTAAGTCTTTACCTCTCTGTATGTGTAGTCACACAAGTTCTGTACTGTTTCTGGTCAAAGACGCAAGTATTGAACCATCTACCACCGCACACTTGCATTTGCTGCACAGCCATTTGCCCCGTGTTTTACATTAATTAACCCAACATCATCGGTTGATTTGCATCGACCGGTTTTCACTTTATGCTCCAGCTGTAGTCCAAATGGCTCTTAAGTACACAAGCTCCCCATTTCCTCAAAAACAATGCTTAAAAAAGCCAAATGGATGGATTTTTTAAAAACTATGTGTATTGATGAATTGATGGGAATTTTTAAAAAAGAATGATTCATATCACATTTTTCTCAGGTAAATTAGCTGCCTGCTCTTTTACGTTTTACTCCTCTAAAGTGCTCCTCAAGGGTCTCTCCAGCTCCAAACTACAACTGATTCAGAACTCGGCCGTACATATTCTAACCCACACTAATCTCCGGATCCCCATCACACCAGCCCTCGCCAAGCTCCACTGGCTCCCTATCACGCCTTGGGACGTCCTCCTGACGTGAAAGGCGCTTTATAAATGGAATCTTGTTGTTGTTGTTGTTGTATCACAGAATGGATCAATTTTAAGATCCTCTCAGTCATCTACAAATCCCTTCACACTTATCCAACTCCCTACCTTTCTGACCTGCTTTCTCCCCACTCCATTACCCACTGCCTCCTCTCACCTGGCTCTGGTCTCCTACTTGTCCCTCGTCCCCTCCCCTCCACTAATGGTGGCTGTGCTTTCAGCTACCATGCCACAAAGCATTGGAACGCTCTCCCCCAATCCCTTCGCCTTGCCCCCTACATCCCCTCTTTTAGATCACGACTGAAGACCTTCGTCTTCGACCGTGCTGACGGCCTCCTCCCTCCCCCGGCTCAGTGTCAAGGCTCTGCCACTGTTAAGCACTCCGATGAAGGGTGCTATATGAATACAAGTTGTAGTTACATAGTTACTTAGCTGATAGCAATTGTCGGGAGACTCTTGGGAAGAAATTTCAACTGGCTCTAGAGTTACTCTTATTCACATAGCATTTTGGAGCACCCAGAATTTTAGCAAGTTGTTGAATTCAGTTTCAAACTTCAAACTGGTTTTCTGTAGTTAATTTATTTGAAAAAAGACACTAATAATAATAATAATATTAATCCTTGCCTTTTAATATGACACCTTGTCATGTCTTCTAGACATCTCAAAGGGCTTCACAGCATATACTGTGAAGTGAATTGACTATGTTTTGTGGGTGAAAAACCTATGGAAAACAAGCTTTACACTTAGACGAGTTTAAGAATTTGCCTAATTCTGGATCCTCTGAAATGCTTTGTTAATAGAGGAAATCTGGACCCAGTTGGAACTTCATCCCACACATGTTGACTCATGCGCATTTTGCAGTTAAAAGCATTCAGAAGCTCCAAAAAATGTCCTTAGTTTTTCAGCCCAAGGGCTGCCATAGACAACCATTCAGCTGTTGATGGAACTCTTTTTGGTCCCGAGGTCTGAAACAATGGGGTGGGGGTGGAAACGATTTAAAAATTGTAACAGGGTCTTCCGGTGGTGTTGTTTTAATAGGAATTAGGCTTTATAATAGGCCCTTGATATAACACCTTTCACATCAGGAGGATATCTGAAAGCGCTTCACAGGATTTACCATACCATAAAGTGTAATGACTGTATTTTGTAGGCGAATATGACACATTATTGTCGCACAAACAGCCATGAAGTGAATGGCCCAATTTATTTTATCTACTGCCTGCCTCTGATTGTAGTAACTAACTCTCCATTGTTTCCTTATCTTTGTCCCTTTCAGAACTCACTGCGGCGCAGAGGAAGTTCTCTCACTCTCTGGCGGAGTTCTCCTTTGAATTTATTGGGGATGCGGAGACCGACGACGAGCGATCTATTGGTAAGTGCGTCTCATCACTTTTAACCTGAAATGAACTCTCCTTTGTAGAACCTGCAGTTCAAAACCTACTTCAACTGAGCCTATGGTCACTCTTTTCCCCCCACTCTTCTTCGCTCAGCGTCCAACATCACCACTGTACCCCTCCACATCCCGATCAGCAGCGGTGCCCTCAGCCCCAAAGCCCCTAATCTCTGGAACTCCCTGCCTCAATCTATCTGTCTATAGTTTTCCATTATGTTCTGTGAAAACTTTTCTGGACTGTGTAACAGGCAAATGCATCTCCTGTCGCAGAAGGTGCATGTATGTCAGTCCTCTAGATGGTGAAGGAATGTGCCTGCACTGTTTAATGTAATTTCTTTCAAATAAAAAAGGAGTACTCGGCAGCTGATCTATAATGCATCATAATAAAAGGTTACTATTGCATCACGGAGGAAATGGTGGTAATCTTACTAGGCATCAAATCAGACTCTTAAATAACATGGAATGTTGTATCTGAATGTGTCCATTAGAGTGGTGATAATTTTATTTTGCTCTGTATTTTAACAGGTTCCACTGAATAATCTGTAAACTACTTCCAGTTGTTCATCATTCTTAGCTATGATTGAGCAGAGCTGCTAATAGTTCAGAAATTCCTTGGTTCTGCGGAGACTATAATATTCCTTGCATTTGATAATAAGCCTTCCATTTGATATAGCACCTTATTGTCTCTTTAAGACGTCTCAAAACACTTCTTCTTCAAACCAGTTGAAGAAGAAGATAACGCTTTCTCTTCTTCCTCTGCACTCTCCCCTCAGGCAGGAGTTGGCAGAAATTCAAATACGTTTGTAACCCAAAATCCACTAAACACCAAATATAGCCCAATATTATGTGTTGCCTTTTATGGGGTAGCAATGTGGCCAAGTTAGGTCAGTGCTTTTGAAACTGTAACAAAATAATAATAATCTTTGCATTTGATATAGCGTCTTGTCACGTCTTCAAGACATCTCAAAGCACTTCACAGAATATACTGTAAAGTGAATTGACTGTATATTTCGTGGGCGAAACACGACAGCCAATTGCATACAGCAGTGTCCCACAAACAGCCGTGGAATTCAGTGACCTTATTATTTTTATAATTTTTTTTGAAGGGATTATTACTCCCAGAAAAGTGATCTGCCAGTCGCCTAACAATCTACTTACTGCTAGGTTAAACAGAGGCGTGTTGCGTAAGGAAACTTGCCCTGGCCAGGAATCGAACCTAGGTACTCTTGCTTGCGAGGCGAGTGCTTCATTTGCTCCGAGTTTGAAGAAGTATTTTGAGACGTCTTAAAGACATGATAAAGCGCTATATCAAATGGAAGGCTTATTATCAAATGCAAGTACTGAGCTACAGGACTATTCTGAGGAAACCTCCACAGAGACTGGGATGAGTGATAATTGACACTTCACAGGAAACCCATTGGTCGCCCTACATCGTTCGTCAGTAAAATGTTAAATTTAAACGTGGTTGAGCAACTCTGGGGCAGGAAGAGATCCCTGGCCAGCCAACCAAATATTTATTCTTTTTGTTATAGCTATCTGATTACCACTTGAATTTGCTGATGCAATCTGTGTCCCTGAATAGCTTCTTCCATGTATTTGCCAATCTCTGGGAAAAGTTTCAAAGGTTGAGTTTATGAATCATTTTGCTTTTCAGTAAAACAGGCTACTTTTAAGCTAGTTCTTAGACTGCGCCACGCAGGTCTGTCTAAATTCATGTCTGTAAAGCGTGCCTACAACCAATATTCTGCTTGAGTTCTGATCTAACTGCAGATTATTCGTAGCAGAATTCTTCCTGTTTGCAATTTCATCGACAGCGTGGACAACGGTTTTAACTTGCGCCCTGAGATACTGAAAGAATACTCGTCTTGCAGTAACAAAGTCACTTGGAATAATATTTATTGTCGCCGAGGCATGCAGACTGTCACATTACTAAAGCAGTGAGTGTTGTGAGTAGGCCTTCTTTCACATCTCCTCCCACAGAGATAGGAGGCTGGCGGTGAGTTGAGGGGAAGGGAGGTAGCTGAAGGCACAATCAAAGAGATGGATCATCATATATTTTGATAGCAGAGAGGGAAGGGGTGATCCGGAGGATTTTTTGAAGATATTTCCAGAGGGTGGAAGGCAAAGTGGCTGAAAGCTCACCCATCAGTGGTGGGGCTGAACAGGCCAGTGGCATGGAACAGGCCAGAAAGATAGACCTTTACAAGAGATAGAACGTCAGTCCCATCCTCCAATTAGGACTCAGATTTTCCTGGCCTGAGGTTACTTAAATCAGTAAACTTAAAACAACTTTCCCATCTTTACCCCTGAAAATACCGAAGTGGCTTTTCAACAAATTGAAGTTTTTTTTAATATAATCCCCAGATAAAATTGGTCATTCAATTCATTGCTGTTTGTGGAACATGGTTGTGTACAAATTGGCTGCTGGGTTTGTCCACAAAATACAATCGCTGCACTTCACAGTAAAATCCTTGATGTCTTGATACAGCATGATATTGAATGCAAGGATTATTATTGTTGTTATTACTGAAGACATTACCTGTATTTTCAATTAAGATTAAAATATATATTTTTTCAATTTGCTCTGAAATTGTATGGAATGCTTAATAATAATACTTTTATTTGGTATAGCATCTTATCACGTCGTCGAGACGTTTCAAAGCGCTTCATGGAACGTACTGTAAAGTGAAGTGACTTTGAATTTTGTGTGCCAGATTGCTGGAGGAAGGGACACTTATTCTTCATGACATTTTCTGACTCCTTGAATTTCAGATCCAAGCGCACACAACTACTCTATAAAGGTTTTTAAAATCACAAGTTTGCCAGCTCATTTATATGGGGGTTTAAGTGTACAATGGACATTGTTTTGCCTTGCATAATTTTAAAGTTTGTATCTCAGTTATTGTCCCTGTCGTGACTGTCCTACAGAAATAAGATCTAAATCTCTTTTGAAGAAGTCCTTGTCTGACAGTCATACTGAGATTGAAATATCGCTCGACCCTCAAACAGACTAATTACAGCGTGAACAGTTTGAGTTCTGGAAAAAGCACCCCGGGATGTGAAGTGTATCTGGTGCAGGTAACCAGCCTCCTGTATATGATGCTGTCCTACGATCTCTGACACGGACTCTTGTCACCTTGGGCCCGAGTTCGCCTCAGTTGAAGTGAAGGATGGTGGGTTCCCTGCATCAGATGGACACTTGCGTCTCGAGGGCCTTTTTCCCCGCTCCTGTTTTGTTTAAGCTGCAGTTTTCTGCTTCAAGCAGTTTTGCCAAGCCACCTTGCAATCCTGTCACATACCAGCACCTCCTTACCTTTCCGACCTGCTTTCTCCCACTCCACTACCTGTTGCTTCTGCTCGGCAGGTTCTGGCCTACTGCTTGTCCCTCATACCCTTCCCTCCACCATCGGTGGCCACTGTATCTTGAAGCATCGGAACTCACCCTCATTCCCTCCGTTTTGCCCCCTCCTTCCCATTTTAGATCACGATTGAAGTCTCCCATTTCGACCGAGCTTACCATTGCCTCCTCCCTCCTTACCCCCCAGTGCCATTGGCTTACACAGGGGGAAAGGAGAGGGCTGTGCACTCCACAGTCGAGATAAGGTAGACAGAAGTAAGCACTTCAAATCTGCGTTTCAAAACTACTGATCTCTGCTCTGGCTACATTGCTTTATCGATAAGATCACAAATTTAAGATGGTCTTTGCCCTAGTTCTCATTTCAACTCTATTTGCCACAAAGGCTTGCTGTCTAACATGTTCCTTGTACAGCTGAAAAGTCTTAACTTTGCAAATTCCTCTGCATGGTGTGACTTGCAAACCCAGAATTAACACAGTGTGTGGGCGTCGGAGTAAATTTGTCTCATTCTTCATTTCTCAATGTTTCCCCCCCCCCCTGCAATCCAATCCGAGGGGGCAGGGCATGATTACCTGAAAGCACAGTTGCTGAGGCGGGGTGGGGGTGGGGGGAGTGTGTGTGGGGTGGGGAGGGGAGGAATGATTTTGCCCAAGCACTGCACTACTATTGTCAATTCATTGCCTCCACCCTTGCCCGGCTCCACTGGCTTCCCATCCCTCAGAGGATAGAATTCAAAATCCTCATCCTCCCTTTCAAGGCCGTCCCTGACCTTGCCGCCTCCTACATCTCTGACCTGCTCAACCTGTCCGCCCCCTCCGTTCAGCAGCCTGCTCCATGTCTACCGCCCGACCTGCCCTACCATCGGCGGCCGGGCTTTCAGCCTCTCTGCTCCTACTCTTTGAAACTCCATCCCACAATCCCTTCTCCTTACTCCCTCTCCTGCCTCATTCAAGGCACAACTCAAGACACTTCTTTTCGACCGTGCCTTCAGCCGCCCTCCTACCTCTCTTCCCTCCCTCATCCCAACCCTGCCCCCCCACGCTCGGGTCCTGAACCGTGAATGTTCAGCACCTCGGGATGTCCTCTCGATGTGAAAGGTGCTTTACAAATGTCATTTTGTTGTTGTTGTTGTCAAAGACTGTAGTAAATTGTACAACATGGGAATAGGAAGGATGGTGGCTTATTCATTGACGATGGCAAAATTCTCTTATTGTTCCCCTGAAATGGTTAAAGTCATGAAGTTGCAGTTATGGACACAATCAGCTTGAATCTGTTTATTGATGAAACCTGTAATATTCTAGTTCAGTTTCAGAAAGGACAATTTTAAATAATAATAACCCTTGCATTTGATATAGCACATCTTCGAGAGGTCTCAAAGCTCTTCACAGAATATACTGTGAAGTGGAATGACTGTGATTCCAAGGAGTGTTTGCACCAGGCTTGTTGACATACCACACACTGGATAAACTAGTACTGCACTATCTTCTTTAAGTGACATTACCACATACTGTAAGTTGCTGCCGGTTTCAATAAGAATGGGCGAGGAAAAAGGAATCCGAACAGAACTCGTGGCAAACTGTGATGACAGAGATTTCACAGCACGGTGTGTTTATACTCCACACGAGTCTCCACCCATTCCTTACTCCTTCCCGTACCCTTCTATTCCCCTCTCATGTGAAGGTCATGCTTCCTCTTGAGCACATCTATACTATATGATTCAACCACAGTGATGAGATATGGACATTGAGAGCCACATTCCTAATCGGGGTCTCGATTCTTGAACTCCTTGTTCCCTTTCAGCCTTTACTTCCTATTGCACTCTGTAGACCTTTAAACCCCAAGTTATAATACTAACATAAACCGGTTGGGCTTGTTTGTAACAGGTTCTGTATAATACCATGAGCCAAAGAAATTGACAGAAATTGTGATTAAAATTGCCACAATCGGCTTTGAGACATTTTCTGACGTGAGAAGCTCTACTGTAAGTTTAAACTGTTGTTGTTGAGAGCAGCTCATGGGTTGGTTTGGGTTCTGTTCTCTGCGTTGCTGACATGGCTCCATCTAATTGCCATTTACAATGACCATACCAAATTTTAGTACCGTTCTAAATATTAATAATAATAATCCTTGCATTTGATATAGCTACTTTCATGCCATTGAGGCGCCTCAAAGCGTTTCACAGGATATACCGTAAAATGAATTGACTGTATATTTTGTGGGTGAAACTCAGCAGCCAATTGTGCATAGCAACCTCCCACAAATGGTCCTGGATTGACAGGCCAGATTATTTTTTTTTTGAGGAAATATTAAAGCAAAGTGTTTTTCTAAAATTCTGATGTCGTTTTGTTGCAGATGAATCGCTGCAGGAATTTGCTGCTTTTCTCCGCAATCTCGAGGATCAAAGAGAATTGATGGTAAGTGTGTGAAGTATTCATGTTGTAGAGCACGGCCCTGATCAGATCAGTTTTCTTTTATGTGTAAATAAAAGATCCGAGCAACAATTTGATGTTCATGATTGAACTGGACTTCGGTACATCGCAAGTATAGTTTTTTTTGGTTTTGGCACACATGGAAATCCATCACTGTGCTTAAGAGAATCTGAACTAGACTGAGAGTTTATTTTCTTCACCCAAATTATCCCTGGAGCAAGGAATCATCCTTAAGTTATTGACATCCTTTTCAATCTGTTGCCTACAATTTTACAATCTACCCCCCTCCAAAACAATTTTTTGACTGATCCTTAAGCACCGACTATATTTTGATGTTTGATTGTCTTGTCTTGTTGGATCGTAGTGCAGTGATAGCATTCTGAGTCAGAAGATTGTGTGTTCAAGCCCCACGTCGAGACTTGGAATCGCATAGTCTAAGCTGACACTCCAATGCAGAGCTGGGCGTGTTGTTGGAGTCGCCAAAACTTTAAACTGAGGTCTTATCTGCCTGTTCAGATGGATGTTAACGATCCCATGACACTATTTGAAAAGAGAAGGGAGTTTCTCCTCGTGTCCTTGCCAACAAATTCCCCCAAATAAAATGAATCACTCACTCGTTGGCTCTTTATGGGACATACATTCCTATACGCAAACTGGCTGCTTCGTTTCGTTCAAAAAATACGCAGTCCAAACCACTTTACAGCATATTCTATAAAGCACTTTCAGTTGAAAGTCTCTATACCAAATGCAAGGATTATTGTTTACCTGAATGTTAAAACTGTGCCTGGTAGCTATTTTCCAAGGTGCTATAGCTTATTCAATAATCTAACATCTGCCACATTGCTTCACTATTGAGGCGGTTCTCTGGTGTTTTTTCCCATGTTAATGTATTTATAGGCAGCTGTTAGTTTTTCACATTCTTGGATTACTTTTTGACAGCATGTTTTCAGCAGTTATTGGCTGCTCCCAGTGTGCAAAATTGTTTACGTTAGTTATTTTTTTATATAAAAGAATGAAATTCCAGGGGGAGAGGAAGACAGCAAATCTGTAAAGTTGTAACATACCGTACATTCATAAAACAGGTGCAGTCACTGTGCACTGTGTTCATGTTGATATGTTACACTTTTGTATTTGTGTGTGCAGACACAGTTGTGTGTGCTTGGCTGATGGTGTGCATGGTGCTATTCATAATCAGCAGCAGGTATGTGCAGCGTTGCGAAGGGCTATGTGTTGTGGAGGATGATATATATAAATATGTGTGTAGTGGAGAGCGAAGGGTGGAGTGGATGGTGGAAGGTGTGGTGAGGGTGGCAGGTGGAGGGGAGTGCAGAAGGGCGGAAGGGCAGAAGGTGGCCGTTGTGCGATGGCACGGGCAGCAGGGCAGGTAACCACTCTGATGAGCCTGTGACAAAAAAGGTGTAGCCAGAAACGACCAGCTTATTCTGTTCACCCAAATTTTATACTAGGAATCCGTGAACAGAGGAACCAAAGTCACTTGTAGTTTATATGTTAAAGCTTGCTTACTTATGCAATAGTTCAATAACGTTTACAGTTGGCAGGGTTACGACAAACAATATTTGCTATCATGCTCACCCATAGCAATGTTACTGTAATGACAATATCAAAATCAATATCAAAGTACATAAGTAGCAGGCAAACACCTCTTGCTGAGGTTTGTTCTAAGGTATGGTCTGCAATACAGCTGGTTACAGAATTTTGACTCTTTTGAGCCTGGGAGGTATGGCCAGTAGTTGGATCTCCAGCAGTTGTGTTGTGGCTGTATTCTCATATTGTTGCAGTTCTTCTGCTCTTTTTTGCTTTTTGCAGTGATGCTGCAATTGCTGGAACCTTGGAACAATCGAGATTGAGTGCCGTGAGTCGCAAAACCTCAGGTAGAAGTTCTGCTTTCCTGGAGGAGAGGAAAACATAGTCACTGTCTCACTAACTCGAACACAACGCTAAGATGACCAATTCTGACTGAACAAAGTATAGCTTAGCTTTACCTTTATAATTGTCCTTTTCTTTAAACATCAGGATGGTGTGTGCAAATCTGCACCTCCTCACCCACCTGATAGCTGTATTTAGGTTGGGTTAAACAAACTGGGACTGTCCTTGGGTCGTAGACATGAGCTGATTCAAATCAAAACAATGTAGGGCCTTTACATCAACAACTAACAAGAGAGTTGTAGCTGAAATAAACACATTTCTTACTGTCTTACTTCTGAACCAAGGCACACATATTGTCATTTTCCATCGTATTTTTGTTGAAAGTTATACCATATCCTGTAACATATGTCACACTTAGATAGAGATGCTACAATTTAGTTAACTGATTAGGTTTATAGTGTCTGCAAATCATACCAATATGGACTATGATTGCATAAGCATTTCTAACTGAACTAAAATTATATTTTAAGGAATAATATATTTCAGTTTCCTCTGTTTGTGTGTGTGTGTGTGTTCAAGGGTGGTAAATGTATGCTGGAATTCGTTCTGTTCATTTCTGAATATTCTGTACCAATAAAAACCACTCCTAAATATTGCAAAGACAAGAAACCGATCTGTACAACACTCAAGGGCCTTGAGTGAATTTGAGTTGAATCTATTAACTCAGATTTTGCTTGTTTGAAGTGGCTCTGACCAAATACAGCAATTCTTTGCTAATCCTGTGTGAATTATGAGAGTCCTCTGGTGTGGAGGAAGCTTCTGCTTCCTTTGTTATGTTTCTGTGGTTCATTGTTAACTTTTCACTCTCGAGTTGCTATAATAATAGTTTTTGTGCTCTGGTTTCACCCACTTATCGTATCCAAAGATTTACAAAGAATGTACAGCATGGAAACAGGTCACTTGTCTAACTAGCTGTGCGGTATTTATACTCCACATGAGTCTCCAACCATTCCTTACTCGCTCCCATAATAATAATCCTTGCATTTGATATAGCGCCTTATCACGTCTTCAAGATGTCTGAAAGCGCTTCACAGAATATACTGTAAAGTATGGTGACTGTATTTTGTGGGTGAAACGCGGCTGCCATTTGAGCACAGCAGTGTCCCACAAACAGTTGTGGATTGAGTGATCAGATTTTTTTAAAAAAGGTATCATTACCCCTGGAAATGTGAACCACCAATTGACTAACAGCCGGTTCCTACTTAATCAAACTGCAAAATGCTGCAGATGCTGGAAATTTGAAACAAAAACAGAAGTCGCTGGGAACACTCAGCATGTCAGACCTGGCAAAGGGTCGTTGACTCACTTTCCTTTCTCCATAGATGCTACCTGACCTGCTGAGAGCTCACAGCAAATTCTGGTTTTGGTTCCTACTTAATTCTTGGAAACAGCGGCGTGTCGAATAAGGAAACTTGCCCAACATTTTGCTCTGACGGGAACCAAACCTAGGTCTCGCGCTTGCGAGGCAAGTGCTCTAACCACTGAGCTATAGTCAACATTTATCGCATAGTTAGTTACTGCTGCCCAATGTGGAAGCAACTGCTGTGTAAACTCCTGTCCACCCTGCGATGTTACATAAAGACATCTGTGGAACTGATATGAAGTGTGCATTTCTCTTCAGTGTAATAGATTGCATGGTACCAAAATAACTCTTCTGGTCCAAACATGGGAACTAGTATTTTATTTTCTGAACACAACCAATATTCCCATGTGAAAAATGCACCACAGAGCATGTTTTGTTGCTAATGTAGCCCAATGAGGAGCAATATGTTTTTTTTCCAGTATTCCCACAGGGCAACAAGAGTCAGGTTTAAAACAGAACATTGTTGGTTTGTTTGTTTGCCAAAGAAATTCCCCCAACAAACTGCATTTCTTTGTGGGGCTGATGCAAAATAGTCTGCAGAGTGGACATTTCCAATGGAAATACCCACTCTCATTTATCAGTGTTCTTGAAGAAATTTTGAGTTATGAAGGTGTTTTTTGGGGGAAACACCAAATTATTATAATAAGCTTATAAAATGATAACTTGCCTGTGATTTGTATTGACTCTGCCAAAATCCCAAACGTCTTGTAATACTGTGTGATTCTGTCAAGGTAGCACAAAACACTGCTAAAACTCTGTGCTGTGATATTAGCAAGTTTCCTATAAATGGTTAATAATAAATAATAACCCTTGCATTTGGTATAGCACCTTTTATGTTAGGAAAACATCTCAAACTTCTTTGACTGTATTGTTTCTGCCATTGACTTTAATCCTGATATATTTATTGAACGTTTGCTTAATCTCTGGAATAATAGAACCTTATTGATGGTGGTAAACAGCAATAAGGTAAAACTGATTCTGAGAATAGTCTCAGCACAAAAGGTCTCATTGGATGCCTTGTAATAACGATATAATCACTTCAGACACTTGTGAAACGTAAAACCTAATGCAGGTAATGCACATTGCACATCAGAACTTGGTCCCAAACCCGGCTGCTCTGTCGCAGATGGTGGAAAACTGGCCTGACAGTCCACGCCAACTGTGGCTCGAGCATCTCCACAGCTACCGCCGTTCTTTGACACGCGCAAAAATGGCTAAACACATCCCGAAAGTCCTTTTTTCCACCCTGCTACCTCCTCCGTGTCCCCCCTCAGGCCTCCTTAATCTTCATATCCAATGCCAAGTGCGAGGAGGTCATGGACTTCTCATCTAAAATTCACAAAATCCGCCAGGCAGCCTCATCCACCTGCCTCTTCTCACCCACCACCATGCCCTCTCTGTCCCTCTCACCCTCCCCATCATCTGCTCCTATCACCCCTTCCATCCTACATTCCTTCCTCCACATCTCTCCATCCTCCCTCTCACCCATCATCACCTCCATGAAACCCACCACCTGCTGCCTCGACCCCCTCCCCACCAACTTGCTGATCACCCAGCTCCCCCTCCTCTGCCCACTATTGGCTGCGTCATCAACCAGTCCCTCTCCTCCGGATCAGTCCCTGCCCCCCTCAAAACTGCTGTCATCAACCCCCCTCCTCAAAAAGCCTTTCCTAGATCTCTCAAACCCCAGCCACTACTGCCCCATTTCTAATCTGCACTCTAACCGCACTCGTCTGGTTCGAGTCCTACCTCACAAACCACCAGCAGTAAATCTGTATAAACAGTTTCTCCTTCCGCTCTCACCCGGTTACCTGCAGGGGTACCCCAAGGATCCATCCTTGGCCCCCTCCTCTTTCTGATCTACATGCTCCCTCTTGGGGATGTCATCCGCAGACATTTCCATGTGTAAGCGGACGACACCCAACTCTATTTCTCCACCTCTCTTTGCGACCCCCTAGTCCCCTGATGTTCTGTCAGCCTGCCTGTCAGACCTCAGGGGCTGGATGAGTGCAAATTTCCTTCAATCGAACGTCGACCAGACGGAAGCCATACTCTGGCTCTCATCAACGTCTCAAATCCCACAGCTCTCACCTCCTCCACCTACCCGACCTCCTCCTAAAACTCTCCGAACCCGTATGCAACCTTGGCAGGTTCGACCCCCAATTGTCCTTCCTCCGCCACATCCAGTCCCTCTCCAGCACCGCTTTCTTCCACCTCTGAGCATCGCCCGTCTCCGCAAATTCCTCTCTCCGAAGGCTGCTGAAAACCTAGTCCATGCCCTTGTCACCTCTAGGCTGGATTACTCTAATACCCTCCTCACTGGTCTCCCATCCACCACCATCCATAAAATCCAAATCATCCAAAGCTCTGCCGCCCGCATTCTCACCCACACCAAACTATGTTCCCCGATCACCCCAGTCCTTGCCAGACTGCACTGGCTGCCTATCCCAGAGAGGATCGATTTCAAGATCCTCACCCTTGTACTCAAATCCCTCCACTCCTCTGCACCCCCCTACGTCTCTGATCCCCTCTCTCCTCAAAACAGTACCCGTTGCCTTTGTTCCTCTGGGTCTGGCCTCCTCCTCGTCCCCGAGTCCTCCGCTCCACCCTCGGCGGCCGTGCCTTCAGCCACTATGCCCCGAGGCTCTGGAATTCCCTTACTCACTCCCTTCACTTCGCTCCCTCTCTTCCTACTTTCAGGTCCCTACTGAAGACCTTCCTCCCCACCCCCCTGGCTCGGCCCCGGGATTCGTTACTGTGAAGCGCTCTGAGATGCCGTCCGGTGTGGAGTGCACTATATAAATCCCAAGTTGTTGTTGTTGTTGTTGTCCTTGCGGAAATGAGTCATGAGCTGGCAGTAATAAACTAGCGGAAAGCCCTTTTCGTTACAGTATTAATGGTTCATGTTTTCAGATGTTTGGACTTTCCAGATAGTTATACATTTATGGGGCGGATGGAGAGTGAAAGAGAGGCTCTCTTTACTGATTGAACAGACATTATATTTAAGAAGATGTGATAAGTAAAGCTGATCAGGTCTGCAGTAACACAAGGCAGTACTGGTGGTTGTCCAGGCTGTAGGGCTGATCAATGCAGGTACGTCCCAACCCTGCTAACCAAGGTCCTACGTGTAGTGTGGTCCTCACTGGACTAGTACCATATTGCCACATTGTTACCATTAATCATTCCATCTGTTTGCGCTGGATTCAATGACAAATACCAGACATGAAATTGTTCCCTACTTTTTGGGGAAAAAACTTTTTTCTCTCCCCATCTTTCCCAACCCGCTGAATAGGACAGTGATCTTATTCCCAGAACTCTACAGTTGCTGGTCATGAGGATTCAAATATTGACTTGCCTACAATTTCCTACCCCCTCCTGTCTTAGAAAAGTGTGTGAACTCCGCTCGACCTTCTCCACGGACAAGACAGGAGTGAACATGCGCATGTGCTTGTATTCTCGCTTTTATCTTATTGCTTTTATCTCTGCCTCAATCCCTTTGCATTGCTTCCTCCTGCTTCTCTATTTTCAGATCCTGCCTGAAGACATTCCTCTTTGAGCGTGCTTACGGTCACTCCCCCCTCCACCGTTTCAGCGTCAGGCTCCACCACTGCTAAGCACTCAGCTGAAGGGCGTTATATAAACATAATTTTTTATTGTTGTATAATAGAAGCAGAGTGATGTAAAGGTGTAACATTGCCTCCTGTTTGAGTAATTCCCTACAAAATATACCTCAGTATCTTAATTTTAAACCAGAAACCTCTGCAAGGTGGGTATCGCCCAGCTATCAGACATTTACTTGCTGTGTGTCCCAGTGCACCAATGTTTCGTCACTTGGCTTTGATAAACTTTAGGAGCTAAGGCTAGTCATAATGGTGCAACACTGATATGGTGGAAATGTCTTTTTTTAACCTCAATTTAAAATGGGTGTTTGTAAAGGAATAATAAGAATGCTTGCATTTGATCTAGCGATTTTCACATTGGGAGAACAGCCCAAAGAGCTTCACATGATTTTACTGTAAGTAGAGCGACTGTGTATTTTGTAGGCAAACACAGCAGCCAAATTGCACACAACAATATCCCACAAATTGCAATGATTTTGGGGGGATTTTATTTGGGGGATTATTGACCAGGATATGCTTTGTGGAATTCATTTTAAGTGGTATTAACAGTTTTTAAAAAGTTCCAGGTTCACTAAAAGTTAATGGATCAAATGTGCCAACGATTCACATTAGACTTGGGTCTATTAGAAACCTCAAAGTTGGACAGCCAAGCTGTTTGGTGCATGGAACAGATGTGGTGGTGTGAAAGCATTCACAAGGACCTGTATTTCTCGTTTTGGTACAATGTTTCTTCTCTTGACTGGTATGCCTTTCTTTCTTTCAGGCACTTAACATCCGTGAGGCTTTCATCAAACCACTGGATAAATTCAGAAAGGAACAACTTGGAGCTGCAAAGGTAATGAAATCCCATTTACCAGAATTGTCAACAAGTTCCTGGCAATTAAAAAGATTCAGGATTGTTTGGATGATAAGAACTGTTGAACGCACCTTTTATTAGAGGTTGGATGGCTATGCTAGATAGACCAGTGGTCTATTCTTGTATGAAACTTTACTTGGGAAGCAGGTTACCAAACTTCTGATGATGAAATTAATATCCTTTGCATTTGATGAGGTGCCTATAATGTCAATGTTTCTAAGGAATTCATGGTTGATTTTGTGCATGCGACTGCCAAGATGGTGGAAAGTGAAATTGATGAATCTTGGTCATTTTACATCTAGCAATTTTTATGTGATGTTTTCATGTAGTGACTGTTAATTTGTAAACACAAAAGCTATTCCATTCATGAAATGGTCCTATAAACAGCAACAGAGTGAATGACTAATTTTCTGAATGATTGTTAGCCAGGGCTGTTTGAGTAGTGAATAGTGTTATAAGACATTCATCTGAACAGGCAGACTCAATTTAACATCCCATTCCTGATGTGATCTGGGTTGTCTCCCAGATTCTAAAAAAGTAGTACATTTGGTGAACAGAGTTGGTTCCATTCGACGTACTAGAGAAAACAATCATGATTTTCAGTGCAGTAGGAACATTGCGTAATTCATCTCCATGACCATTTATGTACATAACCATGCAGTTGGGCAATATGCAAGCTTGGCTCATTCGTGTAAATTAAGAAGTTTCTAAACTTTTCTAAGGGATCTGAAAGTGCCTTTACATTAGTTTACATATGACTGCTCGACTTCAAGATCCTCACCCTTGTCTTTAAATCCCTCCACTCCTCTGCACCCCCCTACCTCTCTGACCTCCTCTCTCCTCACAACAGTGCCTGTTGCCTTCGCTTCACCGGGTCTGGCCTCCTCCTTGTCCCCCGAATCCTCCGCTCCACCATCAGCGGCCGTGCCTTCAGCCACTACGCCCCGAGGCTCTGGAACTCCCTTCCTCACTCCCTTCGCCTCACCCCCTCTCTTCCTATTTTCAGGTCTCGGCTGAAGACCTTTCTTTTTGACCGTGTCTTTGGTTATCTTCCTCCCCCTCCCCCTGGCTCGGCCCCGGGATCCGTTAATGTGAAGCGCTCTGAGACGCCGTCCGGCATGGAGGGCTCTATATAAATCCAAGTTATTGTTGTTGTTCAAACACCACGCCAATTTGGATAGCAATTTTTTATACAGGGTTGATTGTGCTTGGCACATTTCTGTTAGGTGTGAACTTTTGGGTAATATCCTTTTAAAGAACCATTATTTTTGCAAGGAAATGCCAAGCTATGTCACCTAGGAGCTGAAACAGCCCTACATTTTGTCACTCAATGTGTAAAGAGATCATAATGTGTTCAAACCAACTGATATTGTTTGCATCCCATGTTTACAAATAGAGAAACTGCTTTGCTGAACAATATTTTCATGAAGATGTATTCTTAGTAGAATCGTGATTAAATGAAAGGTGATGGCTATTTGCTTATTTTATAGTCAAAACCTTTTGGGGAGGAGAGCAGCATTTATTGTCTAACATTTAATTGATTGTTGTGGAGCTTTGTTTGGGATACGCTTGCCTTCAAAACGTGTCAGTAGGCTTGACAGTAATGACTTGTAAAGCACTGCGAGATGATTTGACACGTTAAGGCACAATTAAAAATGCAACATTCTGTCCTTGTTCTGAAAGGTATTGGAAATGTTCCGTTATCATTTGGATTCTCATTAAAATAAAGAGGAGTTTTATGACTTACAGTTGGTGAGAATAAAGGCTATTTGCTTTCTTGTTATATGTCATTGGAAGAAATGGTTGTTGTAATCTTATCTGCCTTCTCTGAGACCCACTGTGTCTATGTGTCTGGAGACAAGACTCCTAAAATACAGAAACACTTTCAGCGCCTTGAGACGTCCTCCCGACGTGAAGGGCGCTATACAAATGTAATCTATTGTTGTTGTCTTCTCCGAAAACCCACCGTCGACCATCTTGTCTTTTCTAAGACCGGCCGATACAGCAGGTTTGCTCATTTGGACTTACCAGGTGGTTTGGTGACTGGTGAAATTTGTTGAATTTTGTTATTGCGTACTCTGGGTTTTAATATCGTGTGTTTTATTTACTTGAAGGAAGAAAAGAAAAAGTACGAAAAAGAAACTGATAAATACTACAGTGGATTGGAAAAATATGTTGGCTTGTCAGCAAAGAAGAAAGATGCTCAGCTTTCAGAGGTAAGCTCACACTGTTTACTTGTATCAAAATTAACTTGTTGACCTGTAGAATTTGATGCATTTTTAATATTTCCAATGTGTGCATTTCTTAGATAACGATAGAATAGCCAATTGGATTGGCCAATGCCAATCTATTAATGAAGGAGAACCCTCATTAATTGCTACCACTTTGCGACAGTAAATAGTTCATTTATAAAAACACTTTAAAGAAAACCACTTGTTGACTTTTGAAACATAGGATACTAAAAATGCCTTGATTTCACTTCCCCATCACGATAAAACAAGCTGTTCTCAACAGAGAAGTATCTCTGCTGGCCCCTGGTGCCAGCACCTCAACAAACTGTATCATCACTTCCCAGCACCATGGCATCTCCACTAATTCTTGAATTTGCTGAGATGAGAATTTTTTTTATATATAAATATAAACCCTGTGACCATCGGTGCGCTCCAGTGTACACTGAGTTTCTAAAGTTTCTGCTGCAGTCCCGAGTGAAAGTTAAAAGAATAGTGTGTGAGCCACTGGCGGTAAACAGTGTAAAAAGCAAGTCCTGTCTGGCGTCTAGTTTATACTGCTGGAAATCCTGCTTTTCACTAACAATGCAGGGAGTAGTGGGGACAGCCAAGCTCTTTGAAAGTGTCCTTCTTGCCCTCCTTTGATGTGCGCTGTGCTGTACACTGTGAACAATTTTACCAGCAGGAGGATGAAACAATGAAAATACAGGGAACATCTGCACGCCGGGTTTGTGACTACAGTTGAGAGTGCTGAATGCAGAAAGCTGGCTGGCTCACAATGTTTTGCTCTGGGGTGGGGGTTGGTGGCGGGGGGGGTGGGGGTGCGGCAGGGGAGGTTGGGGTCGGCTGCACACGCCATGTGGAGTCCATAATAAATGTTCCCATCGATAACAGTGAGCGTGGTGGAGCTGTATTGAAAAGAGGTGAAATGGAATTCGCCTGTAAAACTTTGCCTGCTGTCGGTCAGTTGAGAGTAAGAGCTTGCTGCACAGTTAAAGGCTACTGTTATTAGTTTGTCACAAACACCGACTTATTTTGTTTTGACACTGATCTCCTGTATTGGAATTAGTCTCCGTAAACCCGCTCGAGGCCTGCTGCACGTCTCTGCCCCGTTAATTGGGAGGGGGTGGGGGGGCACCTCAGGCAGTGGGTGGGGAGGGCGGTCACAACGACATTGGGCAGTAGTGACCAGTTGGGGGGAGGTGGGGAGAGGAAGCGGATGACACCTCAAACAGTTGTGACTTGGGAACATATGTCCATTCTTTATCACCTCTTCGTAGCTTGTAAGTGGATTACACTTGCTGTAACTTGTTAAACCTAGTGTCTGGTGTTGTTAAAACTGGTACCAATTTGAGCAATGTGGTGGATGCAGCGGTTCTTCGCCTACAAAATACACAGTCAATCCACTTTACAGTATATCCTGTGAAGCGCTCTGAGACGTCTCAACGCCATGGTAAGGCGCCATATCAAATGCAAGGATTATTATAATTAGCACACTCCGATGAATGGACAGTCAATGCACCACCATTCTGGCTGCTCGAGCTCCATCTGTAGCGTGAGAATCACAGCCCTCTCACTAAGTGCTCTTTCAGCTGGTCACTATCTTGCAGTGTTTTTCTCCGAGCACATGAAATCTTGGCAGCGAGCTTCGCTGGGGAGGAAATGGGACGCAGTTAAAATCTTAGTCCCATTTGTTCTACCATTGGTTTGTTTTTCTTGGCATATTTGTTTCTGGAAATTCTGTGTCCAGTGCTTCCAGTCCCTGGAGCTGAACCTTCGAAACACAGTTATTTCACTGCACCAGTAGTCGAGCGAGGAAAACTGGAGTTATCAATCTTTGCTTCATTTGCAGAGTTTCTTCAGCTGCTACTTGTGTAGCGATCCTATCACTGTGAAGGCTCCAAATTGGTTCATTCTCTGAAGCTAAAGAGCACAGGGCTGTGCACTCTCTCTGATACAGTCTGACAAGGCAGCCTGCTGAGGAAAATGAAGATGACTTCTCAAAGATGGCTCATTCTAACCACTACATTAGTGTCAGCCAGGTTCAGGGTTCAAGCCACACTTTGGGCTCAACTCATATGATCTAGGCTGACACTCCAATGCAATGCAGAAGTGCGCTGAATTATCAGAGGTGTTGTCCTTTGGATAAGATTTAGACTGAGGTCCTGTCTGCCTTATTTATGTGAGCTATTCGAAAAGATAAGGGAATTTCTTATGGTGTCCTGGCCAACAATCCCATGGATCAAATCGGTCACTCACTTAATGGCTATTTGTGGGAAATTGAAGGGTGCAAATTGGCTGCCATGTTTGGCTTCATAATAAGTCATTACACAAAAAAATATTACTTGATGCTGCAAATCAAAAAAAAATTGTTCCTGACGCTGAGTACTTTAGCCTGTTACAGTTTACAGTTTACTACAGTTTATTTCAATTTATTGTGGCTTCAACATAGAATTGTTGCTGCACACGTGCATAATTCCAGTTTCAAGAGCATTGGTTTGATTTTTATTGAGTCTAATCACTAAACTCCCCACAATTTGGATTGACCTTGACAATGGTAACATTGTAAGAACCAGCTTTGGTCTCCACTCTTCAATAACTTATTAGCCAGAGCTCAGCACTGGGAAGCAGAGCTTAACACATTCTGAGACGCTGAATTTAATTCAGAATAGTGAGTTGGGTGCAAAACTGAAACTGCAAATGGTGGGAATTTCCCTAACTGAGGTAATCCTGGTTTCCCAGATTTCTGACTTAAAACAAAATGGAACAATTTCCAGAAAAATATTGACATCTGTAAACCTCCTTATTTCAATATTAGTAACTCCTTAGCTACCAACTAATCAACATACAATGTGATTGTGATTTCATACTTTGCATGAGAGCCAAAGCATAAACATCAAATACATTTGACCTTTCCTGCCTTTGACAAACACATTCTAGTGCAGCTACTGAACTAGTCACACAATATCTTACTAAGTTGGCTTTTGGCTTAATCTTGTACATTTCATAAAAACCTGCCTTAAAAAATCAACTTAATGAGCCGAATGACCTTCCCGCTTTCCACGTTTTGCACTTCTGAATGAATTATGATACAGTCTTAAGGTTTGAAAGGTGTAATGAGGTCAAAGGAGTTTCTCATGGTGTCCCGGCCAACAATCCCACCAGATAAAAGATTGATCATTCACTTCATGGCTGTTTGTGTGAAATTGCTGTGTCCAATTGGCTGCTGCAAATGCCTACAAAATGCACAGTCACTACACTAATATCCTGTGAAGCCCATAATAATAATAATCCTTGCATTTGATATAGCGCTTTTCATGTCGGGAGGACATCCCAAAGCGCTTCACAGAACACACTGTAAAGTGAATTGACTGTATATTTGTGGGCGAACGCAGCAGCCAATTGCGCACAGCAATGTCCCACAAACAGTCATATGGATTGAAAATGACCAATTTATTATTGTATTGTTTTGCCCTTGAGGCTTCATCGACTTCAAAAGTTCTATAGCCAATGCAATGTTATTATTCATACATGAATCCGCTTGAGAAATGCCTCTTAAAACTGCTGTTGAATGTATTTTTATTGTTATTTTTAATAATGTGCACTTGAACAGTTCAAGGCCTTTCTATCTTTTGTCTTGCTGATTGCCATCAGCTTATATATCATCTATGTTTAAAATGGTTTGCAGAAACTGACGCACAGAGAAACATGCCAGCAGTTTTAGAGCTTAAAGAGCAGCGGAGATTAATTCCAGGAACCTTTGTATTGTTCTGATGGATGTTATTCCGCTGAAAACAATGAGCGAAGGTGACATCATGGGAGAGTGGTAGCCTGGGAACGTGACTGAGAATGACCACATGAGGGAGTTATCAACCTGTACCATAGATTCCACAGTGCTCTTACACGAATGACTGCCATTGGCATTTATGCTAATTCAACTTTATTTAGTAACTCGCTCAATCAACGTACGTGGTCATTTTCGATGTGGCTTCTCCAAAAACAAAAACAGAATTCAACTTTCTCTTTCGTTTTTTCTCTCTGACCTATAAAGTGTAATTCATATACTAAGGAAGCAGTTTGATCTGCAATTTAATATTCGTGAACAGTTTGCTTCTGTTAAGACAGTATCCCACTGTAAATGTGATGGGCTTCACTGACCTGCAGTGTGGATGTCAAGGGGGCTTTCTGTGCTGTTATACATTTGAATCCCTAAACAAGCTGAGAGTTGGTGAAGTTGAGCTGCACTGTCTGAAGTGGATCAGCCTAGTCACGTGATGAGCACATGAAGTCATTGCAAGTTTTCCTGTTTTGAAATTCATTTGTAAAACTATCTGGGTTGATAAAAGGGCTGTGCTGTGGCTGTTATATTTTTTTGCAGATGTGCTGTTCAGAATTGTTGGTGGTCTGAGCACTACAAGTGGGTGTGATATTGCAGTTTTGGCTGTTATCAGGCGCCTGCTGGTATCTACCCTCTTTGAGTTGCTTCTCTATTTCAGTGGGAGGCCCTCATCAACCCCTCATTGCTGCACTGCCTACAGCTGCACGAGCTGCAGTGAAAGTAGTGAAATGAAGGGAGAAAACTAACACTAATGTGCAGCAACTAATTTCTTGACCCTCATAGGGAAACAAATTGCAGCCAAGCCCAAACCCTGTACTGATCTCACCTCCGCAAATACGTTTCTTCATTAAATGTTGTTTAATAGCAATGGGGACTGAGAACTGTGACTGACTGTTTTTTTTGTTGTGAGCTAAACCAGGTTGTTGAGGCCAATTGTAGCATCTGTCTCAGATCAGCTAACTCAGGGTGGTCCAACAGGCGATTCACGAGCCAATTTCATCCGGCAACCCCCCTCTCCCTCCTTTTCATCTGGCCCATCCGCTCCCTCCATAAACCTAGAAGGGAAATGCAAAAATATTGCTCGTGCAGCACACGGACGTTTCTCAAATAGGGCATCCAGCCCTCAGCAGCCAGCAGTTGGACCACCCTGAGCTAACTTATTAGTAACTGCACATTGGTCTTGTCAGTCTATCTCTCAGCTGCTAGTTAGATAAGGTCACTGAGCAAATGGGGACCTAGATTTTTCTACCTGCAATATTGCCACAATTTCATTTGATATGCATCAACATGTACGTTTCCTTTTTTTTTAGCGAGACACACACCTGGAACATGTTCGTCAAAACTACCACGAGATGTCCTTAGAATACGTCTGTAAATTGCAAGAGATTCAGGAGCGTAAGAAATTTGAGTTTGTGGAGCCTGTAAGTAAATTAACATTAAAATAAAATGCTAACGTATGCAGTTTGGGGCGTGCTTTAATCCACAAAGGTCTAGTTTTCTTTTGAATACATGAGATTGAAATTTGCTGATAACTGATAACTTGAGCATTGCTGACGACTTTGTGCAGGTTCTGGCATTGATATACTTGTTCTTTTGAGGAAGAGTTTCCTCTCTTTTAAATTAATTTTAAATTGTACTTTGTTCCAGTTTGAGATTAATAGCTCTATAAACATTAAGTGGGTGGAGGTAGAGGGGAGATTCAACAGAATGGGCCACAGTCTCTGAGGCATAAGCCACGAGCTGGTTATGTTATGTCACTGGGAGAAATTGGGCAAGTTTATCCACTCTGTCCACAAAATACACAGTCAATCCACTTGACAGTATATTCTGTGAAACGCTTTTGAGGCGACTCAACGATAAGGCACTATATCATATGCAAGGATTATTCTTATTCTTTCCTATTTCCTTTTCTTTGTCTCCCAAACCTGATGCCTCCAGTCAGGAAGATGAGCTGATGCTCAGCTCACTGTCAGTTCTCTTAGGCATCACCTTAACATGTAATTCCCTTCCCTGGATTTATTTTCCTCCCCCTCCCTCATTGTTAGGTACCACCATTACACTTGGGGCCTTCCTGTGTTACTTGCCTCTAGTTTGGAACAGAATAGTACCCGAAGTCACGTCTGCCAACGCTCCACGGCCCCCAGTGTTATGTGGAACCTTACTCCACCTCTGTTCAATATTTTATAGTCATAAGGGATCCTCATAACTGATCTGGTGCAATGTTATCTGTGCAAACGTTGGGGCGGTGTCGGTGATATAAGTGTGCCGTTCGCTGCAGTACATTATTTTCTTTATTGCAAAGCATTATAAGCTTTAATCAGCACTCCCGTCATTTTGACTTTCTTTCAAGTGCAGTGGTCTCGTCACTTTCGGTTTTGTTTAGCCGTGTCAAAAGGGCAGGAGTGTAGATACTGTATGACAAGTGACTAATTATAACCGGGTGAACGTGCTGGCGGACTACCACTGTAAGAATCCAGTGGACAGTACTCCTGTCTTGGGTGGTTATGTGAAAACTTACAAAAATGTACAGTGCAAAAATGTTTTGACAGGTTCTGGCATTGGCATACTTATTCTTCTTCCAAGTTTTTTGACTTTTTCCTAAACTTTTATTTTGTTTTCCCCCTCTCTTCCAGATGCTCTCTTTCTTTCAAATGCTCTTCACGTTTTATCATCATGGCTATGAGCTGGCCAAAGATTTCAATCACTACAAGACCGAGCTGCACCTCAACATACAAAATGTGTGTGTTTCTTTCTCAATCTGGTTCTGCCTGTGCAGTATGTCTGCAATTGGGGTTTAAAGCTATCGTACCACATTTAGAACAAAAGGACATTGCTCCGGTTTGATCTTCGCGGAGATCTTACCGCAATCAGATTTTCTTTATTGCAAAGCATTATAAGCAAGCACCTTGCATGGTGACCACAGACATCAGTCTCTGTCTTCAACCCACCCCCCCACATCCCACCCCAGCCCAGTGAACAATTTCACAAAATTTGGTTTAAACCACAAAACAATTTCCCAAACAATATTCAAAAGCCATTGGACTAGGATTCACAGTTTCTTCTTGGGAAATTGATCGTTTAACAGTCTGATGTTTTATTTTAATTTAAGATCCCAGAGATAGATTGTTGGAATGGAAAGTGGACTCTCTCCCTGGAGGGACACATCTTGCTTTACCTTGCTGTGGTAAACTGAGTGTCCCATCCACCCACAAAACACGCTTTAGAGGATGCAAGGGTTATTATAAAACGTTTTGAAAAAAGATTTTGTAATATCCTGATCTGCACTCAGCCTGAACGTAAAAACATACAATTGCAACAAATAGTGGCTGCTGCTGCCACCTGCTGTCCAACCTGCATGCAGGGCTCTTCGGTGGCAAGTGGCCACCAAATCGTACCCCCAGATTTTGCCAAGTGGGGAATTAAAAAAAAATGAGTAGTGTATTATTTTGGTTGCTTATTTTGCTGTACATTGTAATTAAAATGCATCTAGTGTTGATGTTTGATGCTGCAGATGTTGCCACTGGCTCTGCAGCTGCTTATTCCACCTACCATTCGTTGTTTTACAGGCTCGGAATCGATTTGATGGCGCGAGGTCAGAAGTGGAGGAACTAATGCAGAAAATCAAGAAAAACCCTCAAGAACATATGAGAATGAGTTCCTCTGTTATGGAGGGATATCTCTATTTGCAGGAAAAAAGTGTGTACATCTCTTTAGGATCGTGACTAATTTTTTTTAATGCTTGCTTTCAGCTTCAAAATATCCAGCTTTTCGATTTGAATAATGTATTCAATGTTTTTTTTTAAAAACTACACATTTTTAATATTGCTGTCTGTAATCCATTGGGATGCAAGTGAACAGGGTGACATGTAGGCAGGAGTGATTAAATCTGCTGAGGAGCTCTCATGTACCAACCTTCCTCTGTTCAGCGAGCTCTGGCCTGCTCCATGTCCCCCACTCTGCCCACCCCATCATTGACATTCAGGCCTTCACACTCAACTAGCTTTCGTAATCCATACAGCAATGTTCAACATATGACATTTCTGCCCCCACCCTTTGGAACGCCATCCCACAGTCCCTTCGCCTCGCTCCCTCCGTTTCCTCCTTCAAGGCCTGTTTCAAGACCCTCCTCTTCGGTCACCCTTCTACCCCTACCCTCCCTGCTCACCACACCTCCTTATTCCAATCCCCAGTTCAGGCCCCAAACCTTGACTGTCTCCCTCCTGACATGAAAGGCACTATGCAACTGTAATTTGTTGTTGGTGTTCCTGTGACTATAGAAATACTATAGAAATATCAGGTGTTGAATGCTGCTGCAGGGAGTATAAAAGCTAGTTTTGCAGTGAAGGTTTGAGGAAGAATCTTAGACTTCTCTCCAAATTCACCAGTGATTATTTATCTCCCGCAGATAGGCTAAGTTGGGTACCAGCTGCAACAACTAGTAAATGATCGGTTGAAAGGAATGGGTTTATGGGGCCAACGAGCTTCCATCTTAAGGTAGCGGTTTTGTGCATTGCTCCTTAAGGTTTGACATTTAGGTCCATTGGGTGGCATTGAACAAGACAGCATCACAGACATTTCAGGCCTGAATGATATTGAGTCTCGGGTTATTGCAGTGTATAGTGTATTAATTTGATGGCTGAAGTTACTTGCAATATTGTGAGCTGTAACAGTTCAGTGAATGGTTCAACACCGCCTGAATGCTGTATTCCAGGAGCTGTTCCGTTTGGTTCAACCTGGGTGAAGCATTACTGCTCCTATAGAAAAGAGACAAAGAAGTTTACAATGGTGCCATTTGATCAGAAGGCGGGTGGAAAAATTGTGAGTATTTAAGCTGCAATCAAACAGAATAAAATCCACATTTACTCAAAGGGTGAAAGGAGATTCACTTGTATTACCATGTACTTAAGAACCGACTGTAATAAGACTGACTTAAAATGTTATTCAATTCGACAAAGTAAAATCATTAAATAACTTGTTTTACTTCTCCATTATCATGGAATACTGCAGATAACAACAATAACAAAATTACATTTGTATAGCGCCTTTCACGTCGGGACAACGTGCCAAGGCGCTGGACAGACAGAGTTACGGACCCGAGCTGAGGGTCACCTGGGTGGGTAACTGGATTACCGAGACCACCACAGAAAGCTAACTCAATTCTGACATTGTGTTGCCAGACATGTCGATAATAATGATAATAAAAAAATAATAATTTGGTCATTTAACCCATGACTGTTTGTGGGATCCTGCTGTGGCACTATATCAAATGCAAGGATTATTATTATTATTATTGTCACCTTGGAGCCAGTTCAGTTTCAAGGAGTCCCTGCTTACCTCCCAAGCAAAGCCTGATGTGCAGCTTGAGCCCACAACTTTCTGACTCCGAGGCGAGAATGCCCCTAACTGAGTTAACACACTGAGCGAGCTGAACCTGAGCCAGGGTTCACCTTTTCTGCTCCTCTTTTTCACTCCCATCCATTTTGCTTGTTGCCAAAACTCCAGGTCACTACATTTAATGTTATCAGGAAAGGTGTTTGTACTGCCATCCGGAAAGGTGTTGTATTTTTGAATGGGTTCTTCCAAAGGTTAGTATTTATTTTTGTTTCATGTTTTGTCATCAGGGTGAAGAGGATGAATTCACTCTGCAGTCCTGCACGAGAAAAAAGTCAGACACCGTAGAAAAGAGGTTCTGTTTTGACATCGAAGCAGTCGACAGGTAAAATCCTTCTCATGTCCCACTTGCTGTGATTTGAAAACGACACATTAGGAAGGCTTGTGTGTGTATTGTCTTGTGTTATTTTTGTGTAGTGGGGTGTATTAGCAGAACATCAGTCTGTATCTTAGCCTCAGAGCTTTGGACCTCTCTCCCTCAATCCATCCGTCTTGCCCCTCCTTCCCTTCTTTGAGACTGCGACTGAAGGCCTTCCTCTTTGACTGTGCTAACAGTCACCTCCTCCCTCCCCCTGGCTCGGCGTTGGGCTCTGCCATTTTTAAGTGTCACCCTGCGTGAAGGGCGCTATATAAATGCAAGTTATTGTTGTTAATGTTTCAGAGAATTTCTTGATTTGAGTTGTAATGCTGTGAAGTACAGGATCTACAGGTTTGTGTTTTCCTTTTCCGGCTGAACAAGGAGAAAAAACACAGGATCAGTGTTCTACTTTTGGAGAGTTGTGGATTGTTGGCAAGAGATTGTTATGTCCCCACATTGTTTACCTGCATCTAACATGGGCTCAGTGTTGGCCACAAAGAGCGGGGAAAGTGTGCTTTTCCGAAGCTTCTGGACTAGAATAATTTCCTCTCTGGTTTGACACCATTTCATGGATTATTTCCAGGAGGAACTGACGAAACTCATAAAAAATAAACCAAAGGGAAAAAAAACAAGAAAAAATAAACCAAGGATAAAAGATAAACCAAGAAAAACCTATTCAGGATAATTTTTAATATTTTTTTTAAACAAAATTACACAACCACTTGTGGTCTAGGATTGTAAGGAGTCTTTTTATTCTAGTTAAAGGTGCCAAGCAGGTGGATCAGGAAACTGCAGAAGGGTTTCAAAAAGGAATCAGACAAGTCAGGCAGGGTTATTAGACACAGAGGTCTAATCTGTGCTGATTCTTCAAAGGTTTAATCAATGTCAAATTTCTCTGGTGCTCGGATACATCTCTGGCTGAGCCACTCGAACGCTGATCTCATTCTCAGCCTTCATGAAATTGGATTGTTATAATAATACTACTTGCATTTGATATAGAGCCTTACTACGCCATTGAGATGTCTCAAAGCGCTTCACAGAATATACTGTAAAGTAGTTTTGACTGGGTATTTAACAGCCAAAAGCTGTTGGCTTTGACTGGAGTCCGAGTGGGGTCCCAATGAGTTGCCATGAGGAACACCTGGAATTAATCTTCGAATTTTGCAGCGCAGAGGGAGGCCATTCAGCCCATCATGACAATGCCAGTGTTCTGAAAAAGCCTACCCATCTAGTCTCAGTCCAATTCCGGTTTATTTCTATTGTTGAACTGCCCTTTTTGGTAGAGCATTCCACGTGTGTGTTTTTGCATGCCTACAGGATACTATGTTAATGAACTGCTGTAAACTGAACCCAGTCAGACACATATATTGAAGGAATCTTGTGGGAAATTCAATGGGTTGCCCAAATGATCTCTTCCCTTAAGTTTTTACTAATGTGCTTTACTATTATGTGCCTTTATGCCAACGATTCATTTATCTTAGTGAGATCGTAAAAAGGGATGAAGTGACGCCGTATAAAATTATCTATAAAATTGTATAGTGGATTGTCCGTCCAGTGTCCATTGGTTACTGCATCAAGTTGTATTTTGCAGGCAAGGTGTGTTCACCATGCAGGCAGTTACAGAAGGTGATCGGAAGCTATGGATGGAAGCCATGGATGGAACAGAACCTGTAAGTCAGTGCGCTCATACTGTGAGCAGTCACATGCAGTATATTTTATAGGGTGATTCAGGTTGATTCTCTATTCAAGTCCAATTCTATTCAAATAAATCACTATTATTATTAATAATAATGATTCCCACATTTGATATAATGTCTTTCATGTCAGGAGCTTGTCTGAAAGGGTTTTACTGTTCGGTGCAGTGTCTATATTTTGCAGGCAAACACGGCAGCCAATTTGTGCACTGCAGTGCCTCCTAGATGACCGTGAAGCGAGCAACCAATTCAGTGCTATAACCGATTATAGGCTATTTTCTGGGACTCCCTGTTCACCCTTGGGAAGAGAAGACGTAGTGGGGACTTTATAGAAATGTTTAAAATGATGAAGGATGCAAATATTTTGATGCAAGTCTGCTTTTCTGTTTCGAAAACTTGAACAAGGGATCATAGCTTCAGAATAAGCACAACAAAAGTGGGTAGGAAGAGCAGGAGCTTTTTTTAAGTAAAAAAATGGTGCTAGAGCAAGGAACTACAAATGGTTTCACACAGGAATTAGAAATGAAAAGGATTCAAGGTGTTCAGTGCTGAGGAAAATGTGTTGAAGGAATCTTTCGGGAAGCTGGATGGATAGTTAGGTAGACCAATGATTTACTCCTGGGTCGTGCTTCGCCACTGTCAAGCACTCAGAGACGTTACCCTGCTTGAGGGACGCTAGATAAATGCAAGTTGTTGTTGCCCTATTGTTATGTAATACTGTATTTTCTTGAGTTATCTTAGTCCACTTCCTTTTTTTGAAGCATGCAATTTTTTATCTAGTCTGTGACTGACACATCTGCTCCCTCTACTCAACGAACTGCTTCATTTCCCCTGCCCTACCTTCCCCCTGGAATCTTTACAACTCGCCTGCTCTCTCGCCACTTGAGACAATTCTTCAACGCGCTTTCAGTCATCTTTTCTCCCCCACCCAAACCCTCCTCTGCTACCTCAACTAGCTCTGTGAGCGCTCTAACACGTCCTCCTGACAGGAAAAGCACTCTGTAACTGGAAATTGGATTGTGAATATAATGATTGGTATATAAAGCTATATTTACTTAGGACACTTTCAGATAAAAACTTTGCAAATTAAATGGTCATGGAATTGAAAGCTGCGCTTTTGTGTGAAATTCATTGTAACTTCTTAACAAAATCCTCTTAACAATGTTTTCTATTACTGACAGGTCTATTTAATCAACAAAACTGATTTAAGACGAGAAGGATGTAAGTATATTGTAATAGTAAATTATTTATTCCAACACATTGGCAGAACTTGAAGGGGCTGAACAGTCACTGAGCAGGGATTTATCACATTTACCTCATGTTAACGCTGCAAGCCACTGCCCTAATGAGCAGCCTGGTCCTAGCTAGACAAGCATCAGGAAAGCTTGCCAGGCAGTGCTCTCAATGGCGAGTTATGTGGTTTTAGCTGGTTAGACTCCAGCAGTAACTCAACCCACACTCTGGGGTCCCTAAGTCTTGGCTCTTGCCAGCTTGATTAGGTAAAACCAGAGTCAATTAGGTAAAAGTTGGGTGCATCCCTGCTTTTCAAATTTCCATGTGTAGATTGCATACTTGTCTGGGAGGGATACTCTTAAGCATGGTTAGGAGTATTTGCATGGCAGGCATCAAGGCTGACCGAACGAAAATCAACTAAAATGACTATTTTCAATTGGTGATTGCAATATTTCTCATCACTGTGTAATTGATAAGAAATATTACTCTTCTATGCTGTGAATATTTGGAGTGGATTCATTATAAACGTAAACACAATAGTGAATGAGATGGCATGGATGTCCACAGCAAAGATCTCTGGTTTGCTGACAAGTTTTATATTCGTTATTGGTATTAATTCACATTGTGCAACCATCATGGCGATTGTCCTCATTTCTCATACAACTTTCAGCTCAGATGGAGGCTGTGTGGCTAATCATTTCTGAGCCGCACTACTCTCCTCCCTCTGTGGAGTTCTCTGTATCTTTTATTGATAGTTTTAAGTGCACGGTTGGTTATTGCTTATGCGTCTCTTGATGTCACAGCAAGCTCGCTGTGTTAAAGAATAACAAAAGCTATAACACAATCTATTGTTAGTTTCTCAGATCAAAACTTTAGGATGAACCAGGAGAGTGGAACAGAAGGAAATAGGTTTGGAGTTGTGATGGGCAATTTTAGGACAGATACCAGGACGTTTTCTTAGGGAACAGGTTGACAGGAAAAGTTGTCGAGGCCAGGACATTGGACTGATTTTTTTAAAAGACACAGCTGAATTCTGTGATGGGAGGATGAGTATTCTGGAGGGATGAGATCAGATGGGCCAAACCGATCTGGTGATTAATTTTCTATTTTTCTTCCTTTTTTTAAACAAAATTTTATTTTCCGTTTAAGACGCACAACTGGATAGCATGGGTTTCAACATCATAAAGAAATGTATTCACGCAATCGAAACAAGGGGTAATGTAACAATTTATTCTTCACAAAGTTAAACTGTTATGTGGTAACTTGCTGTTCTGTGAAAGGCGCTATAGAAATGTAATTTTGTTGTTGTTGTTAATACTTTACAATGACTTAGTTCCTCTTTGACCATGTCTTTGGTCATCTTTTCCTCCCGCAGCTGGAGTGCAAACACAGGACTGTCCTCCCACCAACAAAGGCTCTACATAATTTTTGTGTGTCCTCATTCCACTGTTCTGGGAACATTTCTCCAACCCACGACAGCATCTTGACTGACCACCACCATCATCATAATAATAATAATAATCCTTGCATTTAATATAGCGCCTTATCATGCCGTTGAGACGTCTCAAAGCGCTTCACAAATATATTGTAAAGTACATTGACTATATTTTGTGGGCGAAATGCAGCAGCCAATTGCACACAGTAGTGTCCCTCAAACAGTGGTGGATTAAGTGACCATGTTATTATTATTTATTATTAATTGGAAGGGATTATTACTCCTGGAAAACGATCCACCAATTGACTAATAACCAGGTTCCTAAGAGGCATGTGAAGTAAGGAAACTTGCCTTTGGTTTCGCTCTGCCAACTTGTGAGGCGAGTGCTTTAATCAATACTCTACAGGACTCCTGGAGTAAAACTGTACTCCATAGAATAAACCCCAGATTCACCGGACTCCGGGTATCGGAATTAGAAGCTAGCTGGACTGGGTGTGAGACCAAACAATTAAAAAATTTTTGGTGATTCCTATCACTTCCTGCCTCATGTCCTTGCTAACCTTCACAGTGTCTGCGTGGAGGCCTGCTTTGGTGACTGCCACCTAGTGTGATATTGACTTTGACTCAGATTTTTTTTAGTAAGGCTGGAATCCCACAAACACATGATAGCTAAGTTTAACATACAGTCGTTTGCACATAAAAAGCACAGTGACAAAAAATGCTGGTAACTGCATTGCTGGTAGTAATTACACTCAGCTGAAAGTTCCTGCTCGTCGGACTGAATCTCCTTGCTCTGCATAAATTGGCTGTCATGTTTACTTGCAAATTAACGGTCACTAAACTTGACCCACGTTCGCTGTGAAGTGCTTGGAGGTGTTTCTATTTGATGGGCGCTGGATCATAGGCAAGGATCGTTTTTGTTGCAACGGCACAAAGATTAACTTTTTGTCATTATATGTTCAAGGAGGGGGAAGAAACCTGATGAAATGGTATTCCTAGGAGCAAGGCAAGCTGGAGATGTTTAAATCAGCTTTCTGCATGGTTACTGAAAATGTCTACTTGATCTTTTTATCTCCATTCAGTCAGCAGTTTGGATTTAATTGTAGGCGCACTAATTGCTTTTGCTCTCACCCAGAATTGATTCTAAAATCTGCATCCAGCAAGTTTTGCATGAAATTGGGAATTAATATGCACTGGCAATTGAATCCTGGTTTCAAGCAGCGCAAATTTATGCTGTATCGGATTAATAAAGCAGCCTGCTTAAATGTGTTAGAATTGAGTTCCAGAAGTGTCAGTTCAATGACATTTGGTGTTGCTATATCTACAAGAGTATTAACCCCTGTCAATAATATGTACACAAGAATCGGATTTTGCCTTTATAAAGTTTCAATCTGACTAGGATTGCGCCAATCTCCAGTTGGTTATTGTGCATCTTAGTCAAAGTTGTTCAAAGCGTTGTTCTGGTTGGAATATTTTAACAAGAAAAAAAATCACAATCTATGTTTGAATTTGTTTCATTTTATTTTACTAAATGTGTTTTCACTCTCTTTCCTAAACAGGACTGAATGACCAAGGATTGTACAGAGTGGCAGGCGTCAGTTCAAAAGTCCAGAGACTTGTGAATTTGTTGATGGGTGAGTCTTTTAAGGTCTAATAGTCCATTTTTTTCTTTTAAAATTCATGATGTTATATATAAGATGTCAGTAGTCCATATTCTCTTTAGACACATATGACTTTTTTGGTGACTGGGGAAATCTAGCTAAGTTATTTCTATACGTGCACATGTTGATGAATGGAGATAACTGTTAGAATGTTTAATTTTTGGGGAGGAAACAGAGTTTTGGTTGCTTCTGTTGAGGTGAGGATGTTTGTTTGGGAGAGTCCGCTCTACACAGCCAGGGTCTGTTTATTGTTAACCCAATTGTCTGTCACCTCTTTTATATCTATTTATCACTCACTTCCTGTGTGTGTGTGTGTGTGTGTGTCGGTCTCTCACACTCTCTCTGAGTATCTGCCCCCATTCTCTGGAGATGCATCCCTTTGACTTACCCTTTCCCTCACCTTTTTTTAAAAGTCTTCCTCAAGATCTTTCTCTTTGACTACACTTTCATCCATCTTCGCCTCCCTCCCCAGCTTGGGTGCAAAACTTGCGCATTGGGACGTCCTCACAACGTGAAAGGCTCTATATCAATGTAAATTTGTATTGTAGTGTGCGTGGCTTTTACTCTCTTTTCTACATTTTCAAAACAAATAAGCACTTTCGCCTTATGATTTCGATGACCATTTGGGGACCTCAAACCAATAGGTTCTCTCAAAACTTGAGGTTTAAAAATTATAATCCAAATACCACTGGCATCAGTTCTGACCAGCCTGTACAGAGCCACTCTGAAAAGTACAGACTGATTTTTTTTTTACCCTCCCCACTTCAGTGCATTGACTGTGAGCTCTGTAAATATAATAGTTGTTTGACATGCATTTCAACAATAATTTTTTCGAGGGTAAAGGTGTGGACTCTTGGTGTTTTCAAAGCAGACGCTCTTTGCAGGGATCTTGTTTTCTGTGACTATGAGGAGCAGGTCATGTGTGACCTCTGCTGGTACCCTTCTTTACCCTTCCTTCAGGGGTTCTGTCAGCCCCATCTGTGCTGGTGATGCATCACTTGCCCCCAGGACAGACTGCAGCTAACAACATGAATCTGCTTTGATGCTGCTAAAGAATCAGCGGCAGTGTTACATAACATTTGCCATCAGATCAAGGGACCTGTTAGGAAGCTGGTAACAGACATTCTGAATTGTTGATAATTTTTTCTGAATTTCATATTAACAAGTTTACAATATGTGGCAGCTTCGCACTCTGTCCTCCTGACACGAAAGCCGACTTATACAAATGTAATTTGTTGTTGTTGTTATTTTTGATATACGGATTTGCGGTGGAGTCGATGAATAGCTAGAAATGGGGCATCCTTCGTCTTATTCACTGAGATGGGCTGTCTGCTGTAAAGGAATTGTAGACTTAGTGGGATTGGACAGGTGGGCAAAAAGGATAATAGTAAAGTAGTTGTGAAAATGGACTTGGTAGGGAATGTTTGGTCGTTTTTAAAATGCATTTGAGAAAATGTCACAATAATTCATTGTTTTGGCTGGCAACTCAGTCTTAAAACTATGATTTGGACATTGTTGAAGCCGGTTAAGTCTGGCCTGAGTTTTCTAAAAGTCAACTTGATTAATGCAGAAACATCTTTTGGCCTTTTCTACCCCAAGTGATGTGATTTTCGATGGAGAATCTTTCCTTTGCAAGATGTCAGAATCAAATTCCTGCTTAATGAGCTGCACTCTACCTTCATATAACATTTAAAATCTGACAATCCCTTCCTCCCATGAAGGGCTTCTGCATTCAAAACTGTCGTCTGATGGTAATTTTTCTGTCTCAATAATCAGACAAGTTTGACCCTGAGATTCCCACACTGCCTTGTATAATTGTTTTGTAAACTACACGCTTTCTAGATCCAAAGACTTGTGATGATCTGGATCTCAGCAGCTCACCAGAATGGGAAGTGAAAACCATCACCAGTGCACTGAAGCAGTATCTACGGTGAGGAGCTTTGTGTGTTTCTACTGCACTCTCTTGGCTTCAGGCATAATGGTGTCAGCCTGCCTCAGTGGGTGGGTAGCAGTCCTCCCCTCTTGAGTCAAAAGGTTGACTTTGAACTGGCATAGTTCAGGCTAATGTTGCATTGCTGGGTATGCCATCCTTTTTGGATGAGATGTTGATCTGAAATCCCCTCTGTCTGTTCAGGTGGACCTTAAAACCCTAGCACTGTAAGAGGTAAAGGAAGTTTCTCCCAGTGTCCTGGCCAACATTTCCCCCAAATGAAATTGGTTGTTCACTACAAAACGGATTGTGGGATGTTGCTGAGTGAAAATTGGCAGTCACGTACAGTTATAAAAATACACAGTCACTGCACGTTACAGTAATCTCAAAATGTAACTTTTTGACCATGCTTTTGGTCACCTTTCCCTCATTATAGATTTGACTGACAGGTCCTCTCCAAGGGGACAATCATATTGGTGTTTGGACACTGACAGATGGGGATTAAGTTCTTGTTGGACCAAAAGCCGGTAACAGAAATGTCTTGAGTGCTTTGCCATCATCCTTCAGGAAGCACGTTCTCCCCCACAGAACAGTCACTCTGCCATTGTTGGGATTGTAAAGCTTCTAGAGTAGTTGCTGAGTACTTTGCGATCTAGCTGGGGAAGCGATCTAATTCACTATAGAAAAGGTAAAATACTGCAGATCCTGGAAATCTGAAATAGGAACAGATGTTATTGGGAACACTCAGCAGGTTGGGCAGCATCTATGGAGAGAAGAAAGAGAATTAATATTTCAGGACCCTTCATCAGAACAGGCGAACTCTGATTATGCTCTTCCCTAACCTGGGAACACTGAGGCCAATAGTAATGTCCCAACTGCAGGCCTGTTTGCAACCTCCGACCTTCCGGCCCCAGCCTCGATGGCTTTGTTGCTGCACCAGATGTACGTAGCCGTCAAGACTATCCTGGCCCCTGCACGTTTATAACAAACATCCTCAGCACTTTACCAGGAATAAGTAGATGTGTGGCCAGCCAGTTGGACAAATTGGAAACGGTGGGATTTTTGGTGTTTGATTTTCCTTTTTCATGTGTTACAGGAGTCTTCCAGAACCTCTCATGACTCACAAGCTATTCGGGGAGTTCATCTTGCCAGCCAGTAGGTACCTAAATGCTGGTGACCATCTCTCTTCAAATGCAATCTGAAAACTCTCTTAAAAGCTCTCCTTGCTTCCAACTCTCCCCCACCCCCTCTTTTCCTGGTGCCATAGAATTAAGGGACTGGGATTTGCCTCAAAACATTCTCACATTCCAAATTTGCAGCCTTGGCAACACCGTTTATAGGAAGGTGTCTAAGTGGAAGTGAAGCACAGTCTTCTGTAAAGTCCGTTTGGAGAGTATATACACTGGTTGAGGTGTGAAGATGGGGGTGGGTAGAGTGGTCGAGAAAAGGAAGCTTGTATAGGGATGGGGGAGAAGGGGTAAACGTCTATTTAAAATGTTCAGATGCTCTACCACGGTCACTGTTGTTTTCTGAAAAGGCTGGTTTAAGTTGCTGTAAGCCTGGCAGCAGCGTGTTCCCCACCTGGACTATTACTAATGATTACATCCAGAATAGCTCTTGCGAACCACATTGGCTAGTTGACAAGTTCTGCAAAGAAGTGATCGTTTGCCAGCTCTAGAAACTCGCTTTGTGGAATTACAGCTGTCAAAACGTGCTTTGTGATCTTACATAGAACGTAACAGCACGGAAACATGCCAGTTGGTGCAACTGGTCCAGGTCTGTGTTTATGTCTGACGAAAGCCTCCACCCCTACCCCCTCCTCCACCCCTCTGTCCCCTTCTCCCCTTTGTATATCCTGCTTGGGGATAATAATTCCTTAAAAACAAATAATAATAATAAATTGGTCACTCAATCAATGACTGTTTGTGGGACACTGCTGCACACAATTGGCTGCTACGTTTCGCTCACAAAATATACAGTTAATTCACTTTACAGTACATTCTGTGAAGCGCTTTGAGACGTCTAGAAGACGTGAAAAGGCGCTATATCAAATGAAAGGATTATTATTATTGTATGCATTAAGTTTTCTTTTAAATACTCTGATGTTTTTTGCTTCAACCACAGTTTCCGGCCAGTATGTTCCACATTCTCACAGTCTCTGTTTTTCAGTCAGCATCTGGACAATTGAAATTCTTTATGATTTAATCCTCCAACCTTAGAACATAAGAACATAAGAAATAGGAGCAGGAGTAGGCCATTCAGGCCCTCGAGCCTGCCCCACCATTTAATAAGATCATGGCTGATCTTCTAACCTAATTCCATTTACCCGCCCTCTCCCCATATTCCTTAAACCCGTTAGTTTTTAAAAATCTATTGATCTCTGTCTTGAATATTCAATGACTGAGCATCCGCAGCTTTCTGGGGTAGAGAATTCCATAAATTCACTACCCTCTGAGTGAAGAAATGTTTTCTCAACTCAGTTCTAAAAGGCTGACCTTTAATCCTGAGACTATGACCCCTAGATTCTCCAACCAGGGGAAACAGTGTCACAATATCTACACTCTTAAGACCCTTAAGAATCTTATAGGTTTCTATAAGATCACCTTGAATTCTTCTATATTCTAGAGAATATAGGCCTATTCTACTCAACCTCTCTCTGTAGGTCAACCCCCTCATCCCAGGAATCAACCTAGTGAACCTACGTTGCACCCCCTCTAAGGTGAATATATTCTTTCTTAGATAAGGAGACCAAAACTGCACACACTATTCTAAGTGCAGTCTCACCAAAGCCCTATACAATTGCAGCAAGGCTTCCCTACTCTTGTACTCTTAACTCCTTTGCAATAAACACTAACATGCTATTAGCCTTTCTAATTGCTTGCTGTACCTGCACACTAACTTTCGGTGATTAGTGTACAAGGACACCTAAATCTCTCAGAATACTAACACTACCTAGTCTCTCCCCCTCTAGAAAATAATCTGCTTTCCTATTTTTTCTACCTAGGTGAATAACTTCAAACCTCCCCACATTATACTCCATTTGCCACCTTCTTGCTCACTCACTTAACCTGTCTATATCCCTTTGCATCCTCCTTGTGTCCTCCTCACAGCTTACTTTCCCACCTAGCTTTGTATCGTCCATTTATTTAGATACGTTAAGCTCTATTTCCTCATCTAAGTCATTGACGTAGACTGTAAACAGTTGTGGTCCAAGTACTGATCCTTGCAGCACTCCACTAGTCACAACCTGCCAATCTGAGAAGGACCCGTTTATCCCTACCCTCTGTTTTATGCCTGTTAACCACTCTTTGATCCATGCTAATATATTACCCTTAATTCCATGAGCCCTAATCTTATGTAACAACCTTTTACGTGGCACCTTGTTGAATGCCTTCTGAAAATCCAAATACACTATAACCACTGGTTCCCCCCATCTAACCTGCTAGTTACATCTTCAAAAAATTCTAAAAGATTTGTTAAACAGGATTTCCCTTTCATAAAACAGTGTTGACTCTGCCTAATCATATTATGACTTTCTAAGTGCCCCATGACGACGTCCCTAATTATAGACTGTAGAATTTTCCCTACCACCAATGTCAGGCTAATTGGTTTATAGTTCCCCATTTTTTCCCTCCCACTCTTCTTAAATAGCGGCGTTCGTTTGTGACCTTCCAATCAACGAGAGCTGTTCGAGAATCCAGGGAATTTTGAAAGATCAAAAACAATGCATCCACTATCTCTGGAGCCACCTCTTTTAAAACCCTAGGATGCAGGCCATCAGGTCCAGGGGATTTATTTTTTCTTTGTTAAACTCTTTGTCCCCACTTGACACACTCTGTTCTTCATCTCCCAAGTCACTCTACAGCCTTGACTTTTCTTATTTGCTTTGTGGGTTTACATTTAACCATAACCCTTCCTCCCCCCCTTAATAATAATAATAATAATCCTTGCATTTGATATAGCGCTTTTCACGTCGGGAGGACGTCCCAAAGCGCTTCACAGAACACACTGTAAAGTGAATTGACTGTATATTTGTGGGCGAACGCGGCAGCCAATTGCGCACAGCAATGTCCCACAAACAGTCGTAGATTGAAAATGACCAATTTATTATTGTTTTTTTTTGTTGTTGTTTTTTTTTTTGGAGCGATTATTACTAGGCGTGTGGAGTAAGGAAACTTGCCCAAGGTTTCGCCCTGCCTGGAATTGAACTCAGGTCTCTCGCTTGCAAAGCGAGTGCTCTAACCACTGAGCTACAGGACTCCACATTCCTTATTACTTTAAAGCTCTATCTACCTCCCTGGTTATTTGTTTTGACAAACAAATCCCAGCCCGGTTTAAGTGGAGCCCATCCCGATGGAAGAGCTCCCTCTTATGACTGGCTTCCCTCTTCTGTGAAATATTCATTGCTTGTGTATAGAGATATTGCCTGCCGAACTTGCTGATCTAGAGGTTCTGTGTTTTTTTTGTAGAATCCGACAGCCCTGAGTCCAGAATCAAAAGTATCCACTCGCTGGTTTACAAACTACCAGAGAAGAACCGAGAGATGTTGGACATTCTTATTAAACATTTAGCCAAGTAAGAAATCCATGTGTAGTTGAGTTACTACTGGAATCTGACCTTTGCTTTTTGATGTGTTTTTTTTTCAAACAAACAAAACCATTCTAACTGGAATGACTGCACAGCTTGAAACTTATGAATTCTTACTCTTCGACCAAGTGAGCAAGAGACTGATCTCTTTGTTGTGACTGTCTCTGTATCTTGATGGAAACTATCTCTAATTTATTTTAGAGCTTTTCTTAATTATGACAAATATCTACTTGTTATAAGAAGATTTGATATTTCTGTTCATAATATCGCCCAGTGCTTAGCAGTCTTAATTCTGACAGAGAAGCTCTCGGCTTACCGTTTAATAATAATACTTGCATTTGATATAGCGCCTTTTCAAGTCTTCGAGACATCTCAAAGCGCTTCACAAAATATACTGTAAAGTGAATTGACTGTATGTTTTGTAGGTGAAACACGGTAACCAATTGGGTACAGCAGTTTTCTCTGTAGTTCAGTAATTTACATTGGATGGAACCTGCCTGGTGTTGGTAGTAACCCACGGGGCAATAGATTGGGCATTTTTGGCATCATCACGGACAGTCCTGTCTGCGGGCTTGTAAAAACATTATTTAAAGAAATAAAATGAATATACACTAGGTGTTTAGTGAACTAGTATACCTAGCAAACTCTTTCTTTCCCCTTGTGTTAAATGACCTTTAGATTTTGGCCCCGTTCTGCAGCATTGGGCATTGCTGAACGCAATTGGCAGTTGCGTTCAACCACAAAACACACAGTCACCGCATTTCACAGTATAATCCTATAAAGCGCTTTGGGACATCCTCCTGACATGAAAGAAGCCACACCAAATGCAATGATTATTATTTTATTATTTTTGCATTAGTCCTTTCTATATATAAAATCTGAGGCAGCCAGTCGTGACTGCATACTTCAGTTTTGATTGTGAGTTGAGCAATAAATGGCCAAAGTGAAATCTTCTGTTTGGAGTGACATTGCTGTTCCTCTTTCCAGTGTGTCCGATAACAAAAAGCAAAACCTGATGACCGTGGCAAACCTCGGGGTAGTGTTCGGCCCCACTCTGATGAGACCGCCAGAGGAAACGGTTGCTGCCATCATGGACCTCAAATTTCAGAACATTGTTGTGGAAATTCTGATCGAAAATCATCAAAAGGTGACTTCTTGTTTTGTCAGCTAGCAAAATGTCCTTTGTGATCTTACATAATTCTACAGAAACAGACCATTCGGTCCAACTAGTCCATTTTTATATTCCATATGAATGTCCACCCTTTCTGATTCCCTCTCCCATACTCCTCATCCCTTCTTCTTCGTGTATTGTATCCGGGAGGATGAGAACAAACAGGTTGAACCTCTCTTGTGTTATTATACACATACAAATAGAGCAATAGAATTCTTCATCTACAAACACATTCTTGTCATTGTTGAGGGAATTCTTTACCTGAAGCAATTTGCCGGTCAGATTATTTTTTTTGTCAGTTTTTTTTTAATCCCATTACAGAAATGGCTTGTTTCTGTTTACATTTTTGTTGCTATTTCTCCTCACTACACATCACTTAAGCAGGTCTTAAAAATGTTCTAATTTGAGTATATTTTATATATGCTGTGGAAACCCAGTTTGTGGAGTCCTGTAGCTCAGTGGTTAGAGCACTCGCCTTGCAAGCGAGACACCTGGGTTCAATTCCAGGCAGGGCGAAACCTTGGGCAAGTTTCCTTACTCCGCACGCTTAATAATAATCCCTCCAACACAAAAAACAATAATAAATTGGTCATTTTCAATCCATGACTGTTTGTGGGACAGCGAGTTTCGCCCACAAATATACAGTCAATTCACTTTACAGTCTATTCTGTGAAGCGCTTTAAGATGTCGAGAAGATGTGAAAAGTGCGATATCAAATGCAAGGATTATCATTATTATTATTATTGTGGTCACCTCAGTAATGCAGCCACCTCACAATTACCAGCACATTTTCACAGTCTCTTTCATTGTCCATGTTAAAAGATAGGCTGCCTGCTTCAGTAAACCGGGCACCTCCCTATTCAGGGCAACAGTCATTGATTGCGGTCGCTACAGCGTCTTTCTCCGATACAAACGCGCATCCGCGGCTCCGGGAGTGTTGGGATCGCGGAAGCTGCACGAGCGGAAACTCGACTTTGCCCGGCGCCCGCGGCCTAACCTGATCTCCGGCGGCCGATTCTTGGTTAGTGCTGTAAACATGCCACCACGGAAGGAGTTGTCTTGATGTGAGAGAGTGAACTTAATCAAACACAGTGAGGACCAACAGTCATAGACAGTTAGCTGTGATCTATGGCATTGACCAACACAAGCTGAATGCCTTCTCAAAAGGAAGGCTGAATACCTGACAGCTTTTGTTTTAAATGTGACGATGCCTTTATTTTAATGATGAGATTGCAAAGTATGGTTGTTGAATGTTCATCCCCCTTGCCCATCACCAATGCCCTTAACATTACATCAGTTGACCTGAATCACCCGATCCGTTTCAGTAATCAGGTCACCTCACTAAGTAGGTCACTTTTGCCCACTGAATTGAGTGGCTGGATTAGTGAGGTTCTTGTGTGTGTGTGTGTGTGTGTGTGTGTGTGTGTGCGTATATATATATTTTTTTTTCTAGAAGTTTCACTGAATCAAACTTTCACTTCTAGTCATCAATGTCTTCTCTCACCTAGAACTTGAATCATCTCATTGATGACCCAACAGATACCTGAGCATTTGCAACCCTTTCAGATGGCAGTAAAATGTCTCCAGGCACTTTGTTCTGTTGAGTAATGCGGTCAGGGTGACTGAATAGAAAACCAATACTGTTCAATAGCTGAACCTTAAAAGGATGAGAATTTTCTTTTTGTACAAAGCACTTCTACTGAAGAGCAAACCTTGGGGAGGGGTGGGGAATATCTCTTTACTTTTAGAGAGAACACTCGACAACATAGACCACTCCAATGACACTGATTTGGGGATAACCCATGTGTGGCCCCTACCATCCAAGCCCTGCACGCACATTAGTCCAACCCATGGCCTAGAGAAGGAATGGGTCTATCCTACACTATTTAAATGCAACTTGTTGTCTAGGGTACCGCCTAATAGTGAGAAAACCTCACTATAGATGAGGCATTATTTTATTGGGGTGTCTTTATTTAACAAACATATTCCCCTCTAGTTGTATTTCCCCTTTAAAATTTGAATGCCAATTTTGTCTCACAGAATAATACAACTCAACATACAATGTGCTCTGTATAACACACACCTCAACTATCATATATATGTACTATTTACAAAGCACATTGAAAAAGGAGGTGCTGGTGGGCAAAGTGCAGATTACTATTTATTACTAGACGCAGTTGTGGGTTTGCGTACAACTGTAATAAATAGTATTCTATATTTTTGTGTGGCGCCTTTCACGTCTCAAAGCACTTCACAGGATTTACTGTGTAGTGACTCTATTTTGTTGGCAAATGTAGCTGCCAATGTGCACAGCAATGTCCAACAAGCAGCAATGAAGTGAATGAACAGTTGAGGAATTGTTTTAGCAACAGCCCTTTGACTGCTTTTGGTCATATATTTTTGCTACATAAATGTAAATTGTATTGCACTCGGTGAATAGTCACCACTGTGTCACTCTGTTTGGTTAGTTTGAATACTCTGAAGCATGGTGCTGGGATTCTGTGTGTCAGACATCCAGTTGACCACTGTCCCCGCCTCCCAACAAAGCAGCATGCAAGCACAGTGGGGCTCAGTGGCATCAGCGGTAACCCCAGAAATGAACACGAGTGACTGTGCTGCAATGTGCTCCATATAACACAGACGTCAACTATCATATCATAACTGTAGTCAGAAATAGGTCCAACCTGAAAATGCACTTGACATTATGTCCAGTAGATGTCTCCCTTAAGGTAATCTTAGCACAAGTCCATGCTTAACTGCTGCAGAAGGTTCAGTCTTTTTGCAAATAATGAACAGCTTTGCAATACATGAGGCTTAACGGAATGGTAGGCTGCAGACATAATCACAGATGCTTTCCAATAAAGGCACTAGAATTAAGGATTCCTATAACTTAAATACAAACTGCTTGGTGATTTGGGTAAATCAGTGTTCCAGGAAAACTGATCCGTTATTCCAGGAAATGAGGAAATTAAATGTGCATTAAATAAAACCTGCAGTGCATCCCATTTACAAAGCACATTGAAACAGGAGGTGCTGGTGGGCAGCATTTTTCACAGCCATATGTGGAAGGCAATCTCTCTCAGTTCATATTATTGAAACCAGATGATCTGTTAAACAGATTCAGATACCCAGACTAGGCACACACTGTACTGTCATTCAGTGAAAGATTCAGCACAGAATGGGTGACAGCCTTATAATTCATCCCATTAAAGGTTTTGAATGTGCATTTTTACATCTTGTTTTCTCCCAAGATTTAAGATTTTACTGTAAAAGCATTGTTTTTATTGGAGGAAGTCTGATGAAACTTTTCTTTTAAAACAGCTGACCATTTGAATGTTTGTCAGGTAACGTTACTCAATTACTGTGTTTGAAACCACCACTTTAAGTGACTATGGTATCAAAATGCTTTTAACTTCTGGTGGTTTGAGTGAGTGCACTGAGCGTGCAGGGCCATGCAGAATTCTCCTTCAAAAACCTTATTAAGTGGGGAGGTTCAATAAATGATTAACTAGGTGACTCAAGGACATAGGTATAAGATAGTCACAAGAAGAGCGAAAGGAGAGCTAACGAGAAACATTTTCACTTGAGAGTTATTGGGATGTGCCAAGTAAGGTGGGGTAGAGGCAGAAACCATTGTGGGTTTCAAGAGGGAAGTAGACGAGTATATGTAACAACAACATGTATTTATGTAGTGCCCCTCGTGCAGGGCAGTATCCCAGAGTGCTTAATATAGTGCCATTCACGTGGAATAGCATCCCAGGGAGCTTAAAGATAAGAGTCTTAAAGGGGTATGGGGATAGGGCAAATAGGGATTGAATGGACATCTTGCTCTGAGAGCTGGTGCAGGCTGAATGGCCTCCTGTGCTGTAAATTTCTATAATTATTTCATTGCATGGTCTGACCAGTTTGAAGAATTATTTCAATAGTTGCGCCTGTCAAAGCGGTAATACCACTCTAGCTGTGTAACTTGGTGTTCAATCCTACTGAGGCCGAGACAGTCCTGTCTGTTGCAAGGAGACTGGGAGGGAATACCAGGAAAATTGGTCCGGTTCCTCGCTTCACATTCTGACCTTGTAGATGTTGGAATGCGACTTGTATTTCCACAGCTTCAGGGCCACGTGTACAGTTTTTAAAATCCGATCCAGATAAAAATGTGAAAAATATGATTTTGTTGGCATCCGGGACAAACGTTTAGGATGGCTCAATGTTGATTCGTTAATGAGGCATATTTATTCTCTTGATTTTATTTCCAGATATTCAGCACTGCTCCAGATGGCAGTGTCTGCCAGCCAGAGTCCTCATTGCCCCTCTCGACTAAGCCACCTAAACAAGCATCACAAGCCGACCTCGATTCAAGACCCATTGCCGTCTACAACTTTTACATGGACCTTGATAAAGGTAAGCGTCTATTTCACTTTTTGCACTAACTAAAGTAAAAAGTGCCCGAAATGTTTTAAATATTTCAATCTGGTATCTTACTGATCTATCCTTATAACTGCCGGGCAGAGGGGGCGCGAGGGGAAGACAATATAACTGGATATCTATTTTATTCTCTTTCCCTTCGGTTAGTTACATATGAGCAAGAGTAGGTCATTCAGTTTATGTAGCCTGTTCCACCAGTTTCTTAGATCGTGGCAGATCTTGTAATCCCATTTCTCTGCATTTTCCTTAACTACAGAATACATAGCCACTACACTTTTTAGTAAATCCCACTCTGTTTGGATGTTTAAAAAAGGGATGTTTAAACATTCTTCCTCTCCAGCCTTCTGGGGCAGTGCATTTCACGTTCTCAAAGTATGAGAAAGGTATTCTGATCTTCCCGTGCCTTGCACCCTTCTTGCTCAAGTTCTGGCTGGAGATCAGCTCTCCATCCTCTGCCAACAACATGATATAACGAGTCGGCTGTTGGGAATTGCAGAAGGAACAGTGAGACTAGCCTATTGACTTTTGATTCCCTTTTTGCCTGGTCTGAGTGAACCCGCTTGTCTAATGCCTAATTTGCTGTTGAGGTGCTTTGCCTTGATAGCTATGAGCAACTGGGTTAAGACGGTCTTAGGTCACATCGGTCCCAACCAGTGAAAGAACAGTCTTTTTTTTATCGTATCCATCTGGCTTGTTTTTAAAAGGATTTGAAAGATTGCATAAATACTTGAGGAAAAATAATTAAGGGCTGAAGAGAAAAAGCGACTAGGGAGGAGAAATAGGATTGCAAAAGCAGGTTCTAGTGAGGGAAAGTTAGGACTCTTTTCTGTCCTGTAAATATTCTATAGATTTGAACCCATGACTCTTACTTGATGACAAAACACATTCCCCTCCTGTTCACCACTGCTTGTGATAAAACACAGTGTCTAACAAAAACCTTCACAGTGCCTTGGAGCAACCCTTCATTTTAGTGCAGTTCTCCAACATTAACCTAGTTTAACTACTCTGCAGTTGTGATTTTAAAAAGCTTCCACTTTTCCCTTTTTCTTAATGCAAAGTTTTGTTACATTGAGCGAACGCTAGTGTATTCAAAAATGCCATGCTCTGCGCTTTGAGGCTTAAATTTGGCTGCAATTCATTTACAGCTTGTGGTTTTGAAGCAGCTGGAACAGATGTCGAAACAAACTCATGCTAACCATTTTCTTCATGTGGTTACCTATATAGCAGGTCACTGTAACTTGACATTGGGTCGAAGTGACTTGACATGCCTTTGTGGGAGGGTGGAAAAAAAAGTAGTGATTTAGGTTGCATTTTATACAAGCTAAGTGCAGTGAATTGCAAGCCTGCTGTATTTTCATCTGAAACGATCTGTGAAGGGTTTATGGTGTAATCTTCCTATGAAATATCACTAGCCCTTGTTAATGGGTCCAGGTGTTATTAAAGATAGGGTATCAGCCTGCCCCATATTGGGTATTTCTGAGCAGCCAATTCCTACAGTATTTTTATACTGGTAATGTTTCTACTTGTGATTCATTGAGCTGAGGGAAGCTTGTGCTGGGCAATGGAACATTTCCCTTCACCATTCCTTCCTCCCACCCCCCCTATATACATAATTGGATATCCCATTGTTAGCGTGCTGGCACACACATGTTCCAGGTCAAATACAGCACACATTTGTTGTACATAGCCCCTTTACTCCCAACAGTGTTTCATAGCTACAGCCGTAAAAGAGCAACTCTGCACCAATGTGATCCTACAGCAGCGCTCTGGGTGCTCAATCCCGTTAGAGATGGGCACATTTGGGGATAGGAGTATTAGGGGTAATTGAGGGTATTAAGGGTAATGGAGAGAAGGTGAGGGAAAAATGGGATTAGTACTTCAACCGTGATCTAAGAAACTGGTGGAGCAGCCTCGACTGGCTGAATGGCCTCCTGGATTTCTGATTTCAAACTGCACAGATTTTAATGTTGAGAGGCGAACTTGATCTTTCAGCACTTTTATGCTCAATGATCAATTTACCGGCAATGTGTTGTACCACTGCTGGGAGTAACTGCACAGGGTGATGAGGTGCCAACCTTTTTTGAGCTGAACTGAGGTGGAGTGATTCCCGGCAGAGCGAAACCTTAAGCAAGTTTCCTTACACCTGTGAAGCACTTTGAGACGCTTCGAAGACGTGATAAGGCACTATATCAAATGCAAGGATTATTATTATATTATATATTCTGTGAAGCGCTTTGAGACATCTGAACGACGTATTAAGGCGCTGTATGAAATGTAATGATTTTTATTAGAATTAGAAATTTGGTGACACCATTGAAAGTGAAGGAAATCCAAGGCCACCTCTTCAACATTAGAAGTTGGCTATTGGCCTGGACTACAGACCAGACTGTCACTCAGTACAGTGAATGCAGACTTTGAAGAAACTGAAGAAAAAAAAATTATAATATAATTACCCATGCCTAACGTTGTCTAGCTGTCTCAAAGCCCTTCACAGATTTCACGCTAAAGTGTATTGACTGCATATCTGCAGGCAAACAAGGCAGCCAATTTTCGCAAAGTAATATCTCACAAAACAGCCATGAAGTGAATGACCAATTTTTATTAGGCGATTGTTGGCCCTGGACACTGGGAGAAACTCCCTTCTCTTTTTGAATAGTACCATGGGATCTTTAATGTCCATCTGTACAGGCAGACAAGGCCTCAGTTTAACATCTCATCTGATTGATGGCACCTCCGACAATGCAGTGCTTCGTGAGCTGTGAATTGGAGCAATCAAGCCTGCGGCCTCCAGAACTGTGTAGCTTAGTCCGGAGTCTTTTCCCCACTAAGTTAGTGAGGGAGCCTGACATTTATTTTGTAGGAAACTGTTTTAGTTTGTCCAGATATTATTTTTTTTTTTTGGCTAGGTATCTATGGCAAAATAATGATCTAGCTATACGCTTTCCAGCTCCATAAATCTCTCCCACTTAATGAATATCTGGCATCAATAATGAGACATGTGATTAATGAATGTTAAAATGCTAAAAACTCAGCAAAAGTACCTGCGGTATCAGAGGCTAGAGTTTCTTTAATATTCTATCCTAGGGTCAATTGATAAAATGAGTATTAATCATCTGTTCGAATCGGTGCAAAGAAAACTGGAGGGCATGAATCAGAGCTGGGAGAGCAGTGAGAGCCAGTGCTTGAGTTGTTTTAACTTTTCGATCATGGTTGAAAGTGAATTCTCTTTTATTGAAAGCTGAAGCCATGCAGGGCAATATATCAGCCATAAGGGGCGCCTGGGGGTAGAAATAGAGATAGCAGCAGCAACAACTTGCATTTATAAAACACCCTTCACACTGCATGGCATCTTGGAGCGCAGTGGTGCAGGTAAGGGTGTGCGAGAGCTTGGTTTAGGTAATGTTGGATTAGATATGGTCATATGGTCAAAGCTCCCTCTTCTCTTCCCCAGTCCCCGTAACTGTGAGCGGCGTAAATATTCGGTGTTGGCAGGTTATTAACGCGTTCATTTTGCAGCAGGGACCACCTGATGGTGATCAGGAGTAGAAACCTCATCTCATTGCCTAGGACATGAAGGTCAATGCCCCATTTTAAGGCTAACTCAGCAGAAATCTTAGAACAGTTCGGGAGCCTAGATTTTTGATCAAGGCCAGTGTACAAAGAACAACCCATCAATGTCAAAGTGTTGTTCCACCACTTGGTATGAGCCAGTGTGTATTGGGTGGGGCGGGGAGAAGTGGGGGGATCTTCATGACCCTATGTCAGTAGAAAGAGATTCATTGAAACTAGTGCCTTTTTATGAGAGTGTATATTGAGAGTGCTTGTCACCTGGATTACTTCCGAAGTGCACACATTAGTCCATATCAACTCTGCTTCATATCTGCTCAGTTCTAATTCTGTGCATTACACGGGAATCTGCTGCATGCTTCTCTAAACCTTTAAACATTTTGTCACACACTTTATTCACTTTCACATATATCTAAAGAAATGAACGCTGTGATCTTGTCTCTGTGGTTTAGTGCAACACCTTTACCAACTGGATAGACCTGTTTTTATTTGAAAGTACAAATCGCAGAGACAATTTCCAACAGCAAGCTACTAACACCCAAGATAACGCTGACAGTTTGACCTCTAAAGGCAGTTTTACCCATATCCTGGCCAATGATTCCCCAGATAAAATTGTTCATTCAAATCAATGGGGGTTTGTGCCACGTGGGGTGTGCACATTAGCTGCCAAATTCACACAAAATACCCAGTCGCTAGCCTTTACAGTAACTTTTGTGGAGTGCTTTGTCTTGTCCTGCCTGACATGCAAGATGCTTCATCAAATGCAAAGATTGCTATTTTATTTAAGCGCTCTGAGACGCTACCCTGCAGGGAGGGTGCTGTATAAGTGCAAGAAGCTGTTGTTGTATTTATTATTATTATTACCTCTCAATGGAATTATTTGCTACCTTGCTGCTCAATACTTGCAGAATCTATTCTGCGTAACCACTGCAGCTGAATTAACTCATTGCGGCGGTGTTACACCTGTTCAGCTCAGGTCACGTGCAAAAGAATGATAGTACTTGTACAAAGCTGCTCCCGCTGGCCTTTTACTTCTTTAGGAATATCCATTGTATTCTGGACCTGTTATTTCCTGTTAAACTTACAGTAATTGTATAGTAAAGGTCTGATCCATACTGGCATTTGCCATCTTAGAACTGAAAGCTCAAAAACTGACCGAAAGCCAAATATATTCTCCTTCCAGTTACATTAAAACCTTTGTGTTTATAATCGATGCCAGTAACCGAAGACTGTAATTCAATCTTGAAATGCTGATCACATTATAGACAGCTGGAGCCGTCGCTCTTGCAATTCATCATACAGTTTGGGATCTTTGGTTACGTCACTGTCCATTCGTACCTCCTGGGTATTCCCTATTCTCTGTTTAGCTGGTGATGCAGCAGTAAGTTGGATATGTTACACACTTTACAGATTTCCGCATGTGTTGGCCGCCTGACTTCAGCTCTTATAGCAGAGGTATGCTTTCAAACTAGTCTCAGGTCACTTTAGATCTTTTCACTGCAGAGAAACAAGATAAGTTGAGCCCCAAGTACAATAAACCTCACATATGTCGTATCAGTTGGGACCATACATTTAATTTGGCTTCTGCAGAATATGACTTATGTGAAACTTGCATAAGTCGTATCTGATTTATGTAAAGTTACGTACAAGTCAGATTTTATAAGATCAATACAAAACAAATATAGTATTTGAACTGGCTGCTGACATTTAAGGCAAGGTTTCTGTACCGTGTTTAACTTGTGCATTTTAAAGGTATGGCAACCCATTCTTTCCATATACAGTACTGCAAAGTGCTGTATATGGAAAGATATGCATGCGCAGAAAACATGTACTGGCAATGAACGGCAAAACCAAACAGGTTTCAAGATAGAACTGTTTTATTAGAATATAAACTCCTACAAAAATTGTTTCACATTGGCTGCTGAGGGCCTAATGCTGTTTGAGACCCACAAAAAGCTGCCCCTCTCTCTGTGCTGTCGATCACTCACTGTTTCTCTCTCATCCCCTCTCACTCATGCTCCTTCTCTCTCTCTCTCTTCCTTCTCTCAGTACACTTTCTCCCTCTCTCTCTCTCTGTTTCTTTCTCTACCCCTCCCATCTAACTGTTTCTCCTTCTTCCTCCACTCTCCCTCAATCACTCTCTCTCCCTCTCCATTACTCTCTCCCTCTTTCTCCGAATCAATCTTGATTGAGAAAAAGAGAGAGGGTTCTCCCAACCGCCGGCTCCTGTTGCTGTCCTAAGAGGACGATTCGCCAGAGACAAAGGGAGCAGGTGACCCAAAGTCTTTCTCTTTCCTCTCTCACCCCCCCATTGCCGTGCACGATGTCGTTGATGTTATGCCCCTGGGAGGGAGCGCGCGGAGAGCGTTGGGCTGAACATGTTCGTAGGAAACAAAGTTTTGACCCGTAACTAGCAAGTCCGATAGTGGTGTTACGAGTTACGCGGTTGTTAATATGACTAGTGCATTTAAATTTAAGTGGATTTAATAGGAAATTGAATGGGACTTCGGCTGATGTACCAGTTGGGCGATTATACGATCTATATAGATCAGACCTATGCGAGGTTTAACATTAAATCTGAAGCGCTTTGAGATGTCCAACTGAAAGACACTGTAATCAAATCTTTGTTATTCTTGTGCATCTTTATTTCCACTGATTGAAACTGCTTTTCTTTTCTTCTAGTTGAGAAACCTAGCCGTGTTGAGGATGATACTCCAACTGGAAGCATAGAATCTATCTCATCCCACTCCTCCATAATCACAACATCCTCCAACTCTAACAGCCCCCCAGAGCAAGCCAGGAACCGGATCCAATCCAACAATAGTGATACCGTTGACTTGGCAGCTTCTTCGTAAGTTCTGTTTTATTGACCGTTGTAAAAGTTGTTAAAGAGTGCCTATATTTTTTTGTGTGCTGAGCATGCAGACGAAGACCTGATGTTGCCGAGCTGATGTAACACAACGAGGTTGAATTCGCAGACGAGACACTTCCTTCTTTGCTGCACATAGGATAACATGAATAAATGTGCTTCTTGTGTGTGATATGTACATGCACTGTAACATTGATTTAGTTAATTGTGTTTTATATAGATATATATGGCATATGTGTGTATGCGCATGTTATAAACATGCATAGGGCAACCCTGTTCTCTTGGTCCATTGCCTCAGAGGCTGTGTCATAAGCAAATTACAAAACAAGGGCTGATTTCTGGGTCCTCAGATCGGCCCTGACATCACTTACTGTGTGCTCGCCACGGGAAACGGTGCCACTGGAAACGGCGCTGACAATTCCTGAATTGATTATCAATGGTGCTTCCCGTTCATGTCACAGGAAGTGACGTTTCCATAGCACCAGAAGTGATGTCAGCAGTGACCCAAATGTCGGCCATTTAGTACCGGTCCATAGGACACCATGACACAAGGGAACCTGCACTAAAATTGGGGGAGTGCATTATACCAGCGTCGCTCTTTATGTTGGGAGTATATTTTATATAAAACATCACATTTGTCAATCAATACCGGCATATTAATTTTTTTTTGTAAATCATTGATTTTAAAGCTCAATAATGTGTCTGTGAGGTTAGCATCTTAAGAATTAAGAGAGGCATTTTAGATGTTAAAAACTTTTTTTAAAAATGAACTGGATTCCGCCTTAATTACTATTAATTCTTTTATAAAGTGGCATCATTACTGCAGTATCAGTAACTTAATTGTTTTAGCACTAGCAATCTTAAGCTAATAATTGGTGGGAGTTCAGTTCCATCTCCTGTAATGCATCCATTTCCTTATTTTCCGTATATTTATTGTATTATGTAATTTTGTATACATTTTTAAAAAATTATCCATGACTGTATGTATTTACTATATTTTAACAGAGTACAATACAGGGCTTTAATCAGGAAATTAACTGAGAACTGCTGAATTGTTTTTATATCCCAAACTGATTTGATCTCCCTTAATGTGAATATCAGGCTTTCTACTGTATGTTGAGTGTCATTGGATCTCCTCTCCACAAACCTGTTGTGCGGTGAGCATTATTTGCATGTCTCAATGAAAGAACCTACCTTGTTAATTCAAGTCTGTAATCTGTAACTCTGTAACAAACACAAATGAGGGTGCTTTAAATAATCTAAAGCATGTTTTAGATTCAGTTTGAATGGTCCTTAGACAATGGGCAGCTCTAGCTCTGTGTGTGGTATTGTCAAGTGACCTATTACTGATGTGTTACCAACTTGTTTCCCCTAGCAACCTCTTCAAAACGACAACTTAACTGCTTTTTAGCATTTATTTACTGAGAAATGGCCTTGCTGCTTATTACCGACGCAATGTGTTTTTCTTCCTTTTTCTCATTTGTTATTTGTGGCAAGGGCCATTTTGGCACATCGTGGTGGTTGGGGGGGTCACCCCTCCAACTCACTGTCAGGCCCAGTCCAACCTGTACGCCATGGTGTCTGCAATCGCTTCCACAGTATCCTGGCATCTCTCCGTCTGTGCCCCGTATGGGACAACTCTGATGTCCTGCCTTTGGTGTCTATGGGTTTTTGCTGTTGTGAATTGAGTCTCTCTCTCGTACTCTCTCCTTTTTTGGAGACAAAGTTCCATCTTTTGGCTGCTTTGTTCTGCCAGTTTTCCACCAATGGTAGCATTGCTAGTTTTACATTACTTACTCTAGTCCCCTCAAGAGACATGTGTATGAAGGCACTGACTCTGGAGACAAGTATAATTGCTCTTTTCGTGACGATAAGCTGATTTTCTATCTCTGTCTGTCGCTGTGGACCTGAAGTCTTTAGTTCTCTTTCAAGATGTGTGGAGTAATCAAATTGACATAAGGATTTCAGATAGGGCTGGAGGAAGGATGTGTGCCAGGTTGTTTCCAGATTTTCTATGTTAAATACCTTCATGAGGGATACATAACGATCCTATAGAGAGCCAGCTACATATCATTCATCTCAGTTATATATCCAAAGGCCTAACAGGTAGGATGGTCCTAGCTGGACAAGCAGCGGGAAAGCTTGCCAGACAGTGATATCAACCGCAAGTATGTGGTTTTAGACTCCAGCAGTACTCCAACTCACACTATGGTATCCCCAAGCCTTGGCTTTCCAGAATTAGGCAAGCAGGATATGTCCCTCAAGGGAGAGAGTGCACATTCCATTCCAGATGCAGGGAAATTTCAGTGTGAAGGTGGCATAGGTATGTGAAACTCTGGTTTGGATACTCTTAAGCGTAGCATGGTGATGGTTTTCTGCATGCGTCAGCCAAACTCAGCTAATCAAAGTAAATCATTCATCTGTATTTGCACTGTCCAGTATGTGCTGAAGGATATGTGGTCGGTATCCTCACACACAGTTTGTTAATGTAACATTTTGGGGCAGTTATATGAATAAGGTGGTGGTGATCATGTGTCACTTGAGGCTGCATTCTTCTTTCCTCTTTCCCCCAATTCTGACGCTCCTGATGGAAATTCCTTTGGTTCCCAAAATGTTGCTATATCCCAACTGGCATCCCATCAGGCTGGCACACCATCAAGAGCAAGGGATTCATGGAAGTTAGCCAAATTGAGAAAAAGTCTTATATTTCTTGCGTCAAATTGGTGGCGGTCAAGTTTGCTTGCTGGTGTGTTGGCTTGATGCACATTTTACATCGGTCCCCATTTGCTAGAAGTAGGATTCCTCTCACTAACCTACCTTTCACTATGTTTTTTGGCTGTCTGTCTGCATCCTTCTTTTTCCCCTTTTTCCCCAGCCCACAGGCAGGGTGTGGTCTTCTCTCCTTTCTTTCCCTTCTGGTGATAACCGCTTGTCCCCATTGTTTCCACCAGGTCTTTCCTATCCTTCCGCTGGCTTCCTAAAGCTTCCTATAACTTTCCTTGTAGCTGCTGGCCTCCACAGTGCGCTTGACTATCTGAGTGCTGCAGACTGATCCTGGACATGTGTAAATTTTGCTGACTGCTTATTATTAAACAATTGACTAATTTCCTGTTTTAGATTTGTCATTTATGTTCATTTGTATTAATGGGCTTTTTAACTGTCTGTAATTGTTGCTGTTTGTTTGCCTGGAAAACTTTTATAAATAAACTTTTTGTTTTAAATAAAACAGTTGTTAAGAAGTGAACGTTTAACTTCATTCTTCTTTTGCTGAAGATCTAAAACGGCTCCTTGGTGGTGGTAAAGGTTAGGGTTGTATTATATAACAAACAATGCACTGGCTTAAATATCTTCATTTCCTAACAATTCAACTACAGTAGATGATGTCCTTGAATGGTAATTTTTCCCCATAGTTCCCAGAAAATGCCAGGTGTTTATTCAGTGAACATTTTCTCAGGAGATGCCAAAATGCTGGTGCTCTTAAGATAGTCAGTGTAAAATTTATCTAATTGGCTCCATGTTAGTTGCCATGTTAATGTAGGATGAACAGAAACACTAGGGAAGTGTCAGGAGCAAGCCCCTGTGCAGTGAATTGTTTGATTTGTTGAACACTGTAGCACTATGAGGTTCAGATGGATCAGGTCATTGGTACAATCAGCAAGGTGCAAAACTTTTTACAGTAGTAAAGCTGCTCAGACATCAGGAGGGACATCATGCTGGAACATTAACCTGAAATGTTTTAAAAAACAAATTGCAATACTTCACCTGTGGTTGCTAATAATTGTCTTTTCCTTCTATTATTTATCTCTTTCCTTTTAATTAGATTTTCTTTTTACGTCTTTATTTCTCTCTCTAACACGTTTTTTTGTACCCTATTTTTAACTACTCTTTATCTTACATTTATAATAAACCTTGCATTTGATATAGCGCCTTATCACGTCGTTGAGACATCTCAAAGCATTTTGGGGAATATACTGTGAGGTGCATTGACTGTATTTTCTGGGTGAAACATGGCAGCCAATTGTGCACAGCAGTATCCCACAAACAACCGCGGATTGAGTGCCAAATAATTTTTTGAGGGATGATTACCCCGGAAAAGCGATCCTCCAATTGACTAACAACCGGGTTCCTACTTATTGATTGTTAAACAGAGGCATATTGAGTAAGGAAACTTTGTGGAGTCCTGTAGCTCAGTGGTTAGAGCACTCGCTTTGCAAGTGAGAGACCTGAGTTCAATTCCAGGCAGAGGGCGAAACCTTGGGCAAGTTTCCTTACTCCACACGCCTAATAATAATCCCTCTAAAACCCAAAACAATAATAAATTGGTCATTTTCAATCCATGACTGTTTGTGGGACATTGTTGTGCGCAATTGGCTGCCGCGTTCGCCCACAAATATACAGTCAATTCACTTTACAGTGTGTTCTGTGAAGCGCTTTGGGACGTCCTCCCGACGTGAAAAGCGCTATATCAAATGCAAGGATTATTATTATTATTATTATTATTATTATTGCCTAAGGCTTCGCCCAACCTGAGAATAGAACCTGGGTCCTTTCACTTGCAAGGCGAGTGCTCTGAACAATACCCTATGGGACTACACTTCTTTCTCCCCACAATCATTTCAGAAGGTCTTCAAAACAAAGTTTATTTTAGGTTATAAAAAAGAGTCTATTTACTGAGGTGGAGGGCCGGTCGACTCACTGACCAAGTGAATTTCTGACGTGGTTCTGTGTTACACGTGTGTTAGGACCAGGCAGAGTAAATCCTTTGATAGCTCTGCATTGTTCCCAAAGAGTGAGCTTAATACACGGCTTAAACGGTTAAACCGAATGCATGCACAACCGATAGCTTGTGATGCTGTAAACATATCAAGCTTTCACTTGCATATCAGAGGCTGAGAATAGTTCTTGCCTCCTGCATTGGGAGAGGATGTTTACAGGGCAAGTCACCCTGGACTGCTCTGAATCAGATACTGAGTGCTTTTGGC